TGCTCTAGTTATAAATTAGTGAAGATCACTGCTCTAGTTATACATTAGTGAAGATCACTGCTCTAGTTATACATTAGTGGAGAACACTGCTCTAGTTATACATTAGTGAAGAACACTGCTCTAGTTATAAATTAGTGAAGAACACTGCTCTAGTTATAAATTAGTGAAGATCACTGCTCTAGTTATAAATTAGTGAAGATCAACTGCTCTAGTTATACATTAGTGAAGATCACTGCTCTAGTTATACAATTAGTGAAGAATCACTGCTCTAGTTGTAAATTATTGAAGATCACTGCTCTAGTTATGACATTAGTGAAGAACACTGCTCTATTTATAATTAGTGAAGACACTGCTCTAGTTATACATTAGTGAAGACACTGCTCTAGTTATAAATTAGTGAAGATCACTGCTCTAGTTATACATTAGTGAAGATCACTGCTCTAGTTATAAATTAGTGAAGATCCACTGCTCTAGTTATACATTAGTGAAGATCACTGCTCTAGTTATAAATTAGTGAAGATCACTGCTCTAGTTACTAAAATTAGTGAGATCACTGCTCTAGTTATAAATTAGTGAAGAATCACTGCTCTAGTTATAAATTAGTGAAGACACTGCTCTAGTTTATAAATTAGTGAAGAATCAGCTTAGTTGACATAGTGAGATCACTGCTCTAGTTATAAATTAGTGAAGATCACTGCTCTAGTTATAAATTAGTGAAGAATCACTGCTCTAGTTATAAATTAGTGAAGAACACTGCTCTAGTTATAAATTAGTGAAGATCACTGCTCTAGTTATAAATCAGTGAAGATCACTGCTCTAGTTATAAATTAGTGAAGATCACTGCTCTAGTTATAAATTAGTGAAGATCACTGCTCTAGTTATACATTAGTGAAGATCACTGCTCTAGTTATACATTAGTGAAGATCACTGCTCTAGTTATAAATTAGTGAAGATCACTGCTCTAGTTATAAATTAGTGAAGATCACTGCTCTAGTTATACATTAGTGAAGATCACTGCTCTAGTTATACATTAGTGAAGATCACTGCTCTAGTTATACATTAGTGAAGATCACTGCTCTAGTTATAAATTAGTGAAGATCACTGCTCTAGTTATAAATTAGTGAAGATCACTGCTCTAGTTATGAATTAGTGAAGATCACTGCTCTAGTTATACATTAGTGAAGATCACTGCTCTAGTTATACATTAGTGAAGAACACTGCTCTAGTTATAAATTAGTGAAGATCACTGCTCTAGTTATAAATTAGTGAAGAACACTGCTCTAGTTATAAATTAGTGAAGATCACTGCTCTAGTTATAAATTAGTGAAGATCACTGCTCTAGTTATAAATTAGTGAAGAACACTGCTCTAGTTATACATTAGTGAAGATCACTGCTCTAGTTATACATTAGTGAAGATCACTGCTCTAGTTATACAATAGTGAAGACCACTGCTCTAGTTATACATTAGTGAAGATCACTGCTCTAGTTATAAATTAGTGAAGATCACTGCTCTAGTTATAAATTAGTGAAGATCACTGCTCTAGTTATAAATTAATGAAGATCACTGCTCTAGTTATACATTAGTGAAGATCACTGCTCTAGTTGTACATTAGTGAAGATCACTGCTCTAGTTGTAAATTAGTGAAGAACACTGTTCTAGTTATAAATTAGTGAAGATCACTGCTCTAGTTATAAATTAGTGAAGATAACTGCTCTAGTTATACATTAGTGAAGATCACTGCTCTAGTTGTACATTAGTGAAGATCACTGCTCTAGTTATAAATTAGTGAAGATCACTGCTCTAGTTATAAATTAGTGAAGAACACTGTTCTAGTTATACATTAGTGAAGATCACTGCTCTAGTTATCAATTAGTGAAGATCACTGCTCTAGTTATACATTAGTGAAGATCACTGCTCTAGTTATAAATTAGTGAACAACACTGCTCTAGTTATAAATTTGTGAAGATCACTGCTCTAGTTATAAATTAGTGAAGATCACTGCTCTAGTTATACATTAGTGAAGATCACTGCTCTAGTTATAAATTAGTGTAGAACACTGCTCTAGTTATAAATTAGTGAAGATCACTGCTCTAGTTATAAATTAGTGAAGATCACTGCTCTAGTTATAAATTAGTGAAGATCACTGCTCTAGTTATAAATTAGTGAAGATCACTGCTCTAGTTATAAATTAGTGAAGAACACTGCTCTAGTTAGTACATTAGTGAAGATCACTGCTCTAGTTATACAATTAGTGAAGACCACTGCTCTAGTTATACATTAGTGAAGATCACTGCTCTAGTTATAAATTAGTGAAGATCACTGCTCTAGTTATAAATTAGTGAAGATCACTGCTCTAGTTATAAATTAGTGAAGATCACTGCTCTAGTTATAAATTAGTGAAGAACACTGCTCTAGTTATAAATTAGTGAAGAACACTGCTCTAGTTATACATTAGTGAAGAACACTGCTCTAGTTATAAATTAGTGAAGATCACTGATCTTGTTATAAATTAGTGAAGATCACTGCTCTAGTTATAAATTAGTGAAGATCACTGCTCTAGTTATACATTAGTGAAGATCACTGCTCTAGTTATAAATTAGTGAAGACCACTGCTCTAGTTATACATTAGTGAAGATCACTGCTCTAGTTATAAATTAGTGAAGATCACTGCTCTAGTTATAAATTAGTGAAGATCACTGCTCTAGTTATAAATTAGTGAAGATCACTGCTCTAGTTATACATTAGTGAAGATCACTGCTCTAGTTATAAATTAGTGAAGATCACTGCTCTAGTTATAAATTAGTGAAGATCACTGCTCTAGTTATAAATTAGTGGAGAACACTACTCTATTTATAAATTAGTGAAGAACACGGCTCTTGTTATAAATTAGTGGAGAACACTGCTCTAGTTATACATTAGTGAAGATCACTGCTCTAGTTGTACATTAGTGAAGATCACTGCTCTAGTTATAAATTAGTGAAGACCACTGCTCTAGTTATAAATGAGTGAAGATCACTGCTCTAGTTATAAATTAGTGAAGATCACTGCTCTAGCTATAAATTAGTGAAGATCACTGCTCTAGTTATAAATTAGTGAAGATCACTGCTCTAGTTATAAATTAGTGAAGAACACTGCTCTAGTTGTACATTAGTGAAGATCACTGCTCTAGTTATAAATTAGTGAAGATCACTGCTCTAGTTGTACATTAGTGAAAATCACTGCTCTAGTTGTAAATTAGTGAAGAACACTGTTCTAGTTATAAATTAGTGAAGATCACTGCTCTAGTTATAAATTAGTGAAGATAACTGCTCTAGTTATACATTAGTGAAGATCACTGCTCTAGTTGTACATTAGTGAAGATCACTGCTCTAGTTATAAATTAGTGAAGATCACTGCTCTAGTTATAAATTAGTGAAGAACACTGTTCTAGTTATACATTAGTGAAGATCACTGCTCTAGTTATCAATTAGTGAAGATCACTGCTCTAGTTATACATTAGTGAAGATCACTGCTCTAGTTATACATTAGTGAAGATCACTGCTCTAGTTGTACATTAGTGAAGATCACTGCTCTAGTTATACATTAGTGAAGAACACTGCTCTAGTTATAAATTAGTGAAGAACACTGCTCTAGTTATACATTAGTGAAGATCACTGCTCTAGTTATAAATTAGTGAAGATCACTGCTCTAGTTATACATTAGTGAAGATCACTGCTCTAGTTGTACATTAGTGAAGATCACTGCTCTAGTTATACATTAGTGAAGATCACTGCTCTAGTTATAAATTAGTGAAGATCACTGCTCTTGTTATACATTAGTGAAGATCACTGCTCTAGTTGTACATTAGTGAAGATCACTGCTCTAGTTATACATTAGTGAAGATCACTGCTCTAGTTATAAATTAGTGAAGATCACTGCTCTAGTTATAAATTAGTGAAGATCACTGCTCTAGTTATAAATTAGTGAAGATCACTGCTCTAGTTATAAATTAGTGAAGATCACTGCTCTAGTTATAAATCAGTGAAGATCACTGCTCTAGTTATAAATTAGTGAAGATCACTGCTCTAGTTATAAATCAGTGAAGATCACTGCTCTAACCTTTCAATAAAGAAGACCAGTATTTTTTTCTCCAACACACGTGTAACTACTACGGGGAACCATTCCAGTTGAGTTCCTTGCCTCAGTAATGGAAACAACCACATCGCGCCTGAGTATCTTGAACGTTGATTTAAAAAAAACGTACTCCGAAACACCCTTCAGCTGGTTTATCCAGGTTATGGGACTTTCTAGCAAAGTATTGCAACCGCATAACTCGAACGGTGTTTGAAGTAAGATCGCACTATTCTGTGCTGCAGTGCAGTTTTCATTATCGAATAGAATGTTTTACAGTAATTGTATCGTCTTTGGGAACAGTGAACATAGCAAATTGTACGTTTCATGATTTATTAGAATGTTGTATAGTAATTGTATTGTCTTTGGGAATAGCGAACATACCAAATTGTATTATGCGTTTTAATGCTCGTATGCGTTGTTTGTAAATGTTAGACACCTAACCTATGCATCCATTTAAGATCGCCGCTTACGCTCACGGTGATCCACGCACGTGAGAATTGACTGCCCTACAGAGACGGCATTCACAATGTATGCACATCATGCGAAAGTGAGACGTTACATTCCGGTGAAACAGCGCAAGCAAATATGTCAAGATGAGGCGGATAAAAACGAGACAGTGAAAGCGAGCGAGAGAGAGAGAAAAGACCGAAACAAGAAAATATGAATAACAAAAATGTACACTGCACACTCTTAAATCAAAGCATGTCCATGAGTTAGTGACAGGCCGGGGGGGGGGTGGGCTCGCTTGGTCGTCAATAATTATAAGCCAAGTGGGATGTAAAGATTTGGATGGTACGGATCTCCACACAACCCGGAGAGCAATTTTCTGTAAGAAAAAAATAATGTTGTGATGATGATGATGATTGGAACGCTGTCTTTTGACAGATTCCGCAGACAATAGCGCGTGTGAATTCGATCACATTATCTGCTCCGAGGGACGGAAGATTCACAGCGTGCTTTGACGAAGGACCTACGTTTGAGAACATCAAGAGGTGTGAGGCTAAAATAATAACTCCAATTGCCTTGCTCCCTTTTTGTTACACCAAGTGACAGTCATTTTAAATACCGCTGCTGCTGTGGTATTGACGTCGTTATCACGACAGATACAAAGTAACTTCTGATTATGTATTTGGGTTATAACATGGGTAAACAACAGCTTACTGTAGATTATTCTAACAGTCTATGTATATCTCCTATTAAGTCACCTGCTTTCTGTGCAATCAGAATAGTTTAACCTTACACATGCTATGTGGCAAAGCACAGCCTTTGTTATTGAACTGATGGACGAGGGCCTCTCTACAAAATGCGAGTGGTGCGGGTTATTTGACCATACTTCACCATGCTGGTCAGTAAAAAAAGTGATAGCTTTCGCTGCACGCCTCCCCCCCCCCACTCTGCTGCCTCACAATGTAGCTGCGTAGCAGAGCCTATAACAGCTGTTATGCATTGTTGGTGAATCTATTGTTGGCAGTTTGATCTACACATTAATTAAACACGTTTCAAAGAATGAATTGATACGCTGCGCTCGCGTACTTTGCATACTGAGAATATGTTTTGTTTAAATATATTTTATTATAGCAACAGCTGGAAAGGATTGGCTTCCAAGTCTGAAGTTCAAAACTACAGTATTGTTCTTTGCAGGGTGGTCCGGATGTCTTGTGACCCCCATTTAATTATCTGTAACTTAATATTTTTAAAGTAAGGTTTATTTTGAAACAGAAATTAATATGCAAAGAGGAACATTTAATGGGTAATCTGGACCATTCCCTGTGCATTAAAGCCAACTCAGTTCATCATCATCTGTCTATGACAATCTGTTTGCCCGTGGTGACCGCACATCCAAGCTGTATCCAGGCTCACCCCGACTTGGCCTCTGAGGTCGAATGAATTGGGCGCATTCCAGGTGATTTGGTTATAGGCGTGTACAGTAATTTATTGCGGTACAGTGACTGAATATGCAAATGCATTTGTACTTCTTTGCAGAACTCAAACACGAGAAGTGAGCACCATTCACACAGTCTATAGATCGCAGAACGTTTTTTTCTTAAAGTGAAAAATTGACAAGTCATCAGACAATTTCGATCCAGCAGATGATAATGAAATAATATTTTATCTTTCCATTTGAAATTCAAGTAATGTACACTGCATCCTGTAAGCATCAATGTTTTTACAACAATACCATTAGTATGGATATTTTTTTATACAAATCCGAGTACTAGACCTAGATATATTGGCGCAGCATGAAACCACGAGGTACGGCAACGACTTGGGAATGCCTTCATCCAGCCGTGGATAGATCATGGATGATTATGGTGATGAAATTGGAGTGTTATAGTCAAGTCAAATTTTTTTTATTAAATAACGTTGGCGCTTTTCTGGCACAAACCTGCCACCCAAAAGCGCCATCATCACAGTCATACACAACATGAGTAAAATGATCATGCATTCTTGTTGTGTATGTGTGTTTTACAGATGTAAGGTTATCCCATGTCCAAAGCCATCAAGTGCCAAGGAAATGCCGCACCACTTACTGATGGGCAATGCTCCAGCAAATCAGCTCACTCTGCCCATCAGAATCTTCTGCCCAGCGCTGTAAAAATCTGTGAAGCGAAAACAATCATCGAAATGCTGAAGCAATCTCATCCTCAAGCTTATTGCATTCTGATATTTGAGATGGTTTAACGTAATAGAGTGTCACTGTGATTCCACTATCTGGCCGCTGTGTGGACGAGCACTAACAGGGGCCCTGATAAGACCTTCAAATCCAAATTAGTGGCGATGAAAGAATACAGATATTGATGTGATGCATGTACCATATTATTATATTTTACCAGGCAAGGCCCAATGAGCTGTATAGCTCTTTTTCAGAAGCGACCTGGCCACAAACGATAGCCCAACGAAGCGGCTTATCACGTGCAAATGGAAAGCAGCCAAATACCCTAAACGCATGTTTATAAATGTGAAGGGAAAAAACCGAAGGGCCCAGAGAAAAATCTCCACGACCACGGGGAGAACACGCAAACTCCCAATATACAGGCATCAGGGCCGACTCGAACCCATGACCTTCTGTATACCAGGCGAGGTAGTTAACATATCACAGTGATTTAAAGAAACGAAACATAATAAATTATTAGTACTGGTATGATTACTCTCATGCACTGAGAGAGAGAGAGAGGGGGAAGATGCAGCCCTGTAGCAAAGATATCAGCGTAAACCCTGTGAAATCCGCCCTTGCTTCCATTGGCCGTTCCCTAACACGACGCGTTACACTAGTCTGTGTGATAATTGAATGGATACTTGGGCTCATGACGCGATACCAATATCATAAGTGGCACAAAGGGGGGGGGGGGGGAAATTATCCCAAAAATGTATAACGCAGTATTTAAATGTTAACGTACAAAACATCTGTTCTACAATGCACCATTTTTAGTCAATAGTATATAAAGCGCTTGGGATGTTTATGCGAAAGGTGTCATGAAATAATTATGGTGCTGTTGATGATGGATATTTGCAAGCATCCGATAACATTCTGTAATTCCACCTCAAATGTAATTGGAGTTGTAGATTTACTGAGAAGTGGTTGTGTATATAGCCAATGCCACCCCTCCGTTAACATGAGCGCTGTACATAATTATGGAGTAGTAATGTTTACCATAGAAATAGGATGAGGGATGCTATGAAGTGCCCTGAAATACAAATAACCACAACACTGTGCTTTGTGTGGAGCTGTTATTGTTTTACTGGTTTTATACTCTTTACTGCATTCTACATACCACAGTCAATTCGTAGATCCATTATTGTGGAATATGTTTTGCTGCTCTTTGTTGCCATTTTCGAGGCATGGAAACTGTTGTTAACGACATAACAAATAATAACTTACAGCCATTTGGTCACTCTTCTAGCGTATGGAAAGGTGACATTTGCAACGCGTGTATATCGCGGTTATTAAGCCATTCGGTAGCCTCTCTGGCGGCTTGGTTGGTGAATGCCGATGATATTGCCCGCGAATCGCTGGTGCATGGGGCAATTCTGGGTCACGTGATCCACGGTCTGGCTCTGGTGACCACAGCAGTCACAATGCGGACTGTTCTTCATTTTTCCATCGATAAAGGTGACTGCTTCTGCCGTACCCTGTTCTGCAGTGATTTTGGGCTGACCATTGTTTCCTGGGCAGTGGTCGAACCCAGGACGTTATTGCGTGGGATCGGTAGCTCTTTGTCATTCCACTGCTGGATGAAGGTCTTCCGGTGCTGCATGAGTCTTGGGAGTTGTCTGATTATACTTGACCATGCTGTCCTGTGTGGGTTGGTGAAGGGGGGCCAGGAACAGTTCAGATATCACTCCCCACTGATGTTAGCCATGGCATGGGAAATGAACTCAGGTCCAGGTTCTTACCCCAGTGCACTAACCACTGCACTACCATTCCACCCTAACTCTAGAAATACCTTTCCTTTTACATGAGATTAACAGTCAGGGCACTGTGACCAGGTTACATTTCTAAACGAAGAATGTATTTGGTCATTCTCAGTCTTTAACCAAGTTAACTGTGCCCCCCCTAGTGAATAGGCATAAGATTCCCATCATGCATGGGCTTTTTACAGGTGGTGGTACTTTTCAAACATTGATATCCAAACTTTCTACGCACGCTCCTTCACCCACCCTCGCCGATCAGCGTGTTCAAGTATGGCTAAACAACTCCCCGTGACCAACATGGTGGATGCTTGACTAGAAATGTAACCAATGAAAACTTATTTTATGATTGCTTTTTATTACATTACAGGATTGCGAGAAATGGATGTGTTGAGTCCTTCATCCAGCGGTGGATTGATAAAGGGCTGTAAGTTATACTGTTTTAAGCTGGATATTAGCACACCTTATACAAAGCAACGTGATCGCACTGGTGGGGGAGAAGGCAAACAGAAAACTTCTGATACACAATGTTTTGTGTATAAGCACAGCTGGCCCTCGCTTGCAAAATGTATGCTTATATCCAGCATATACTGTATTATTGCAGAATAACTTTGTAATTGACTGCATGGATTGGAATTGCTCCATGTGAAAGCTTACTGGCATTGGATACCTCTGAGTTAAGTGGCCACGAAGACCCCCCCCCCCCCCAGGCAAAGTTTATTGCAGATATTTGGCAAGTTAGTCATGCCAAGCTGAGTCATGCGTTTACTGACTGACAATTCGAGCCAGGGATTTTATTTCAACCACAAAACCAATAAGTGGACTGTATTTACGTTTTTCTTCCAGCATCCACCTGGTATTGACATTGTCTTTGCGTTTATGGGCCGTGTCCCTCTGCCTTAGAAAATGACAGTGTATTTCTGCTGAAAAAAAAAACACTTTTGAAATGGGCCCCATGTTCTGCTTTATACTTTCAACATTTCTGTCAAAACATACACAATTCTGTTTCAAAACAGATCCTACCATTGTCCCAAGTTCTAACCTGAGGATAATAGTCATTCTAAATGGAGGTGAAGCCTTGCCACAGTGGTTGACACATTATACCATGAACTCGGCGACCTGGGTTTGATTCCTGGCCATGGCTAACATTAGTGGAGCATGATATCTGAATCGTTCCGGACCTCCCCACTTCAACCCGCATTTATCATCGTGAAATATGGTCAAACAACACCCACACCTGACACAAGCATATTATGGCATTGGATACCAGCGACTGGTCACGTAAATCACATTAAACATATTTTCCCCTTAAATTACTTGCGTAGTGTTTCAAAAGGTATCGCGAGAATGTCACTTAAACTATTTTTATTCAACCATTCCTGGCTTCTTAATTGGCTGGTAAATAGTTTTTTTTCTGATAATAATTGTATTGCACATGTCAAGCCATTGCCATGTTGGTCATCGGGGTTGATTGACTGCATCATAACAGTCAGAGCAGGTTGGTGACGGGGAGAATTCGGAACCGATGCACGGATGCTGCTTATCGTGGCTGGCAATGGAACTCAGGTCACCGAGTTCATAGGACAGTGCGATAACCACTGCGCTACTGCTCCACCCTCGAAAAGTTGATGAATAACATGACAACTAGAGTTTTAGGACCACAATTTTCATGCTAGCTCTACCGTTAGGATGTTATGGAGTGTTTTGTTGTTAATAACTTCTGACATTGCCTTAAGTGTACTTGCAGGTCTTAGGCAATGGTGATGCTGGCCCACTGGGGCCCTAATCAAAATCTAATTTTTGCCCCACACCCCATTCATATAATACACTCTTATTGATGTAATAGAAGAGATATAGACAAGAGATAGAGATTAATTTACGTGAGGGGAGAAAGATACAGACAAGGTGAGAGGGATCAATTGTTTTTATGCTGATTAGGATTTGAATTCAATGATGTTTGGTTCATCCTGATTTCTCCATGGATCCAGTGCCCCTTGAGCTCCATGGGGCCCCGTGGATTTGCTAACACCTCGTACCACTATTGGTCCTTGGGATTCAACAAGGCTTTGGTGAGATAAAATAACCAAGCAAATATTAAGAAATGTGGGTAAATAAGCAACTCTTGATCAAAGTTGAGGACAAAACATTATCGCTGTCAATTTCTGAACTTTGTCACTTTGTTCATGTCAAGGCTAGTGTTTCCGCTATATTTAATTTGTAAATAATTAACTTTTTAAATTCCGGTGATTTATCATGTTTATACAGCAGTTGGTGGTAATCAATAAACAAGCAGAATCTATCATATGAACCATTTCTGCATGAATAAAATATAAATTCAATTCACCAAAATAACTTTTTATTCCCTTTTTTTATAACATTGCAAGTTCCCGAGAGATGGTGGTGGCTTCGGGAGGCCTTCATCCAGCAGTGGAGTGACCATCGCTTATGATTATGACCGATATGCGTTTGAAGTACGCACTACAGTCAAACTTATGTCAGCAAATCCACACGTAAGGTGTTCTTAACCTGTTCTTCTTAATTTGTCAACACTGAACCTACTATACTACACTGAAATATCTGCATATGCATGCGTTGTTTGTGAAGGGTACGAAACGTGGCGTTTGACAGCCCTCGCCCAGAGTGAAATCTGCAGAGGGCCTATTCCATGGGACCTCCGTTGCCAGTATCAACATATAATAGGTTTTCCCCTTTTCTCTGGCAACAAAACAGGTGTTAAGATGTTAAAACACCAAACTGAAACCTTTTGCAAGGAATCATGTCTGCATTAACCATACTTGTGGTGAAAATACAAACAAAAATCCTCGGACAGTTATATGCATTATCTTTGAAACTGATTGGTCCACACCAGATAGTGGCATTGTCTTTGTGCTGTTCGCCTTTTGGCGTCCTCTGGTCTAACACTGTTTGAGACTAGGCTCTAAAGAAAGCTGTCTTTGGTGTGGACCAATCAGTTTCAAAGATGATGCATATCCTGTCAAAGCATGTTTTTTGTTTGTATTTTCACCACAAGTATATGTGGTCAATGCAGACATGATTCCTTGCAAAAGGTTTCAGTTTGGTGTTTTAACATCTTATCACAACTGTTTTGTTGCCAGTAAAAAGGGGAAAACCTATTCTTAGAGGGCCTATTTTATATGTGCCTATGTTTAAAATGGGCACTGCTGAATACTAAAACAAATGCAACAGCGGCCAACTTACAAGAGTATGACATGCGGTACACTACGTCACAATCATTCTTGAGGGCAGAATGGAAGGCGTTTTAGAAGCCGCATCTTCCAAGAGTCTATATGTAAAAGTGCAATCTTGCACATGCTGTAATGGCACTGCTGGTGTGAGGGCCTCCTCTAGAGGGCGCGACAGAGAGATCCATCCAGAGCAGTTGTTTTTAACCTGGGGTGCGAGGTGCCTTTTCTAGGGGTGCGAGACATGCCAGATTCTTTTTAGGTCAATCATCGAAACACAAATTAATCACTAGCAGGTAAATACAACTACCTTTTTCATTAAACCTATGGATTTATTAACATTATAGATTTGTTTTACCATTAAGAACCAAAGGGGTGCAAGGCTACAGTAAAAGAACCACTGCTCTAGAGGGTAACTTGGCCTACTCTGTAACGCTAGTCAGATTTACGACACTTTATCCCACCGGGCGTGTGCTGCCAGTCAAGTGTGGTGTACATATTTATACTGCTGGGTGGATGGACAGAAGTCGTGGCTGGAACCGCATTAAAATGTTTTCAATACTGGAATCTTGGTGTTTTGTTTGCCCGGAAAAGGCTTTTTTGACTACCATTTACATATTAGATTTTTGACTATTTATAGTGTTGACCATTTCAACTTTCAAGAGAGCGAAACTTATCTTATTCATCAACCCGATGCTTCTAATCATATTATTCACGGGACCCAATCGATCTACTCATGTTTATTTTTATGGGAAGAAAACATCCACTGGGCCTCTTTCTTCCCTCACTGCGGAGGTGGAACGATACTAAAAGACTTCAAATGAAAGATCATTAATGAAACTCAGCCCTACATTCCTTCAGCAATGAGATCAGCCAAATGGGCTATGTTTAAAAACTACCAGTTTTACATAAAAAAAAGTCTAGGCATAATTTACAATGTGTACTATGAAAACATGACTGTTAAAAAAGCTTGATGTTAACTTGCAGCCGGAACGTACGTTGCGCCCATGCTCAACATTCAAGCAAATCTCACGGGGAGGAAGGGTCCTACATAATTTCAACTTGTAACGCGCACAGTATTCACTCATCCTCGAAAATTAGACTTGACTCGGAGGCATGACGAACAACAGAGAAGCGGGAAGAGAGCCACATGATGAGCTGCCGCCAATAATTGTCCAGGCACTGCGATCCCCTTTATATTCAGGCGTTATTGGCGAATTAAAAAAGCGTTGAAATGGGCAAAGTATTAAAACATCCAGAAAGAAAAATATCCGAAGAGATGTAAAACAAGAATGCGCAGTAACTATGTTCGTGTAAAACGAGACATTGTAAAATACAAATGAATAGCCCATGAGCCACAATTGGTGTCTCGTTATTTTGTTTCACAGATATTTGTGGAACCACTGTTGAAGGCCTCCCTGCACTGAATACACGTACTTTAAGGGAAGCATGTTCAATGTGGTCTGTGTGACCAGTCACTGGTTATGTGATGCCTTATTGTTTGTATCAGGCATGGGAGGTACTTTTCACCAAACTTCACCATGCTGGTCAGTACGGTTTGGTGGGAATTAAACTTCCTTCTGAGTGCAGTGCGATAAACCGCAGTGCCACCACTCCATCCCCTGCAAATGATATGAAAGAATACTGGCACCTTTTACATTCCTACACTCCCTCCCCGACTTAAAACTTTCGTGACTGCAGGAATTCATATGATTGGTTATTTCGGTGAAGTCACGTAGATGGAAAATAAAAATTGCATTGAAAATAATAAAAGCAAAAAAATCCACGACGTTTCGATCGCAACACAAGCGGTCTTCATCAATTGGATTTTTTTTCCTTTTATTATTTTCAATCTATTTATATATTTTTTTTATTTTATTTTCTATCTACGTGACTTTACCGAAAGAACCAAGAATATGTATTCCTACACTCGTAAATAGAATCCAGTCTCAAAACAAGGCAGTCTGAGAAAATATTTCCATACTCCAAATGAGCCTTTTCGTGCCCATTTCCATTGGTAGGTTCTAGGCAATGGTGAAAGTACCAATTCGAGTATGTCCACAGGACAACCACTGATGACCAGCTATGAATACTTTAATAAGTTACCGTTTTGGCGTTCTCTACTCTGACACGGGTGAGAATAGACCCTAAAGAAGGCAAATCAGTTTCAAAGACAATGCCATATATTATCAGAGCATGTTTTTGTTGCATTTTCACCACAAGTACGTGTGGTTAATGCAGGCAGGATTCCTTGCAAAATGTTTCTATTTGGTGTTTGAACATCTTAACACCTCCTGTTTTTATTGCCAGAAAGGGTAAAACCTATTCTTGTTTTTTTATGTTACCCTTTCATCACCATCATCAGCCATGCTCAATGGCTAGATGCAGGTCTCTTAAAGTCGCTCCTCTCAACTCCCGCGATGTTAGTAACTCCACCCAAACGCCTGTGCAAGAGATTAAATTATCGCTCCATCTCCTCGGCTGAACGTCCTCTCTGATGGGCAATTAAGCGATTGGGATTTCCCCTTATTATGAATGAATGCACCTCACTAAAGCCAATGTCTCCAGGCAGATGTTTGAACAATGAATGGTCTTCACGTCACTCACCAGGTCAAACTATTCGACTCAGAAATCGAATGTTGACATTGATGGATACAGCTAATGCCAGTGGCTGGAGAGTAGACTTGAACAACATGTCCACAAAGATGCGAATTGGAACCCTGCCACGCTTGGACACATAATGAGATTGCTATTCTCTCTCTCTCTCTTAAATTGCTATTTATAGAGCAATCGACGAATGTATAACTTCCCACTGTGAATTACTGCACAGTATACAGTATGTATTAAAGGTATGATACAATTCTTAGATAAATGGTCCGGTGGTAATTCAACATTCCAAGGAAGTTATTGCCCACTCTGTGCTATGAAGGGATATTTCCTGAAACGTCGACTATATATTTTGTATCTTGTTTTAAGGCAGTGTTATTGAATGTCTGGGTGTTGTAGTACACTTTCCTCCATCCGACACAGCCAAAATATAAATAAATGTAAAGTTTCAACGCAATGGTGGTTGAACGTGCGGAACATGAACACATTGCATGTGTTATACTGCATGTCTATGGTCCCACACATCGAGTGAGATCGCAATAGTTGGGTGCCACCCTTCCACCTGCGTTGACCAGCGTGGTGAAGTATGTCCAAATAACCCGCGAGGGGGGGGGGCCCTTATCGAGCCGTGCATGGCAATAATGTACAGTAGCTTTGACAGTAATGTAATTAAACGCTTGCTTGTTAGTGTTGGTTAAGCGTTAATAGAATGGCATGGTTACCATCACGCCTATGGTACGTGTACAATGGGTACACGTGTGAGCATGCGTGTTGTTAAGGGCACTTGTCCCAAGTCTGTTAAAGGCTTTTCACACATCTTACAAAGACACTTGCAAGTTCGTTTTCCCTCACTTTGCCACTTAAATGTTCACTTAATTCAGTCGAATTTACGTCAAAGGAAAGAGATTTCCCCCCCGCCCTCTCCTTCCCCTCCAAGTGGGCCCCATCCACACGACGGGGTAACGGCACCGCGCTGCTTGGCGTCACCTCCAAACTTTCCACATCAACAACAACACACACACACACAAAACCACTTTTAAAAAAAAATATCCCCGGACGTGTCACACGTAAAAAAATACATTTTATTATTTTCAATCGACAACCGTGTTCATGAAACCGAACCCAACGCAGCGCTTTAAATCTACCGAGCGTGTGTGTGTGCGCGCGTGTGTGTGTGTGGTGACGTCGTCGCCGCGGCCCGTGTTTACAAACAGCGCGGCCATGTCCGTGTTGATCCACCACCCTCCTCTCTTCCCGCGCTTTCCCGGCGCCTTTCACCCACAGACTTGCCTGCTTACCCCCCTCCCTGCTGCTTCGCCCTCACCCACCCCGGTCACTTGAGCATCAACAACCGATTTGCGAGTGATGGCGGCGGCGGTGGCTGGGGGGGGGGAGGTAAAGAAGCTGTGAGAAACGCCGCCTCGTAGGCGATAAGAGACAGACAGACACAGCCTTTATAGCCACCCCCGCAACACGTGGTGGCCGCAGAGCGCTCAGGCATTGTGGGGTTGCTCCGCGGCCATGTTACACGGGCCGGGCCCCACGCCGGCGGATCGCGCAATGCGGACGTGGAGTACGCTTTCCCGGTTGCGGATCCGGAGCGCGGTTAAGTTGAGCGCTCCCCCCCCACCACCTCCTCCTCCCCCTTCCTCCACGCTTTAGAGTGGCGGGGCGGAGTGGGTGAGAAGTCCCCGCCTGCCGCGATCCGCTCCGGCGTTGGGAGCCCCAGCGCCGTGTTTTGCCGCCCGCCCGTCCGCCCACCCCCCCCTACCCCCCGGGTGTCGCCGCACACAAACGGACCGAAACGTTTTCGGGCCTTGCAGCTCCTGGAGTCGACCTCCAGCCGCCTCGGCGAGGCGAGTCCGAGAGAGTCGACCCGCGGCCTCGAGAAGTCGACCTGCAGCGCTAAAGGCGGATCTGCAGATCCGGCGGGGGCAACGCGGAGGGGGGAACGTGCAAGCGCGAGCTTCGAACTCCACAGTCAACCTCGCACCCGTAATCGACCTCCTCGAGCCATCCTCTAGCGTCAACCTCCACCTCGGTCCTTGAACCACCCGCCAAGGTCTCGTCGAGTTAACCACAAGGTCTGTGGAGTCAGCCTTCGTCCAGCAATAACAGTCAGTCCGCACTCAAGTCTACAGTCGACCTCGCATCAACTTACAGTCAACCTTCATCCAGCATCAACCTATCGGGTCGGCCTATATCCAGCTACGGGCACCTGCAACCTCCACATTAAACATCTCGACTCCACTACCCTGCAGAATCTACCCCTGCTGCTGCTGCTCCACCAACCAACCTCCAGCATCGCCCAGCCACCAACATAGTCAACCTCCCCGTCAAGCATCGATCGACTGCTGCTTGCCGCTGCCTCCACATTCAAGCAAAGGCGAGGCGAGGAGACGGAACTCGCGGCCTCGTGGAGGGGGAGGCCATGGCTGCACTGGACGCCCAAGAGCTGATGGACCGGGGCGCGCTCGCCCTGCTCGCCCTGCGCTCGGCGCCCTGCAGCCCGGCCCGTGCCTCGCCCTGGGGGGAGCAGGGCGACCTGAGTGACGACCACCACCATCAACCCCTGGAGCCACCGCTGGCCCGACTCGAAGGTCGCGGCGTGGACTACGTGGTGCGAAAGCGGACGGTGACGGTGGGGAGAGACTCGAGCCAGGGCGCGGTGGACGTGGACATGGGCAGGTCGAGCTTTATCTCGAGGGTACACCTGGAGATCGCACTCGAAGGGCCGCACTTCATGCTGCGATGCCTGGGCAAGAACGGCGTGTTCGTGGACGGCGTGTTCCAGCGTCGGGGCGCGGCGGCCCTGCGCCTGCCCAAGACGTGAGACGCACGATCACTCAGCCCCCACCGCTACTACTACTAATACTACCACTACCACCACTACTACTACCCGTCAATATACCACTTAACCACTTTAACCTTCCTTTCTGGACATTGTGGCTCATCGTATTCATTCTGATACATCTCCTACCTCCTTAATCCTCATTCCTCCTATGAAACATTACCAACTATCCTTAACCGCCACCTACTTGTGCCACACCTAAACCTTTACCACCTATGCCTACCTCCTAAACCCCTTAAAAATAACCCTACATACCCCGACAGTATTACCCCGTAAAACCCCCTGTTTACCTCCTGCCCAGTTTCACCGAGTCTCTGAATGTATCTGTCCATCCCCACCACACCCCTTCCCCCTCACCAACAACAAGGAGCTGCAACCCACGTGTTTGTTGTGAACCCTCAAGTGAAAGTTCCTCTTTGTTGCTGGCGGATAGTAGGAGTCACTCGTGTTAAGACTGCAGATTTAGAGGAGTGTCACCTTTTCTCTTGATTAAGTTATCTGCCCTTCCTCCCAACCCCCCCCACCCAACTCTTCACAACATCACAACAACCGCAACCCCCCTCCATTGCTGGGGTTCTTGAGCCGGAATTATGTTTGGGTGTTTCTGATCAAGAAGCCGTGCGTTGTGGTCAGAAGATGGCAGCACCTGCCATGGGGGGTTGTCCAAAGACGATTCAATGGATTGGCTCTTAGCCTGTGGATTAAAGCAATCTGCGGGTCATCTCCGGGCTTGCGGCCCGTATTTACATGCCAATCGTACGTTGAATTGGCCGACATCAGGATTCCGGACCCTACTTAAATATATACGTGAGACTCGTTGAGTATTTTTTGAGATGCATTCCAGGGTAAAGGGCATAAATCAATACTGTGCTCCCCACCTCTGCCCTGAAGCAGTGTCTCCAGCAGTGAGTTTTCGTTTGTGTCGGGGAGGTTTGTGAGGGAAAGTGAGTGGCTCGTTTTAGTTTGTTGCCTTTTTGGAATTGGTGTTTGCGTTTTGGTTGGGATTTTGAGCTTTTTTTTAAGTTGCGATTTCTGTGGGCTCTTGGCTACTATTTATTTTTAGTCGTGGCTTTGGGTGTTGTTTTTTTATAGTTATTGTTGGGTGGCTTTTGAAACAGGCGCCGAGTGATAAGCCCCACAAATCGCTTGGTGGGAGTGGTGCTTTGGCTCTTCTACATTGTTTTTGCATAAAGTTTGAGCACAAGTGAAGAAAGTTTTCCACATTTCATTTTTTTACTTGGTTTAAGATTTTACAAATATTTGTCTAGAATTTTTGATTTCCTCTGATAGTGTTTGTGATTTCTTGGGGTTTTTACTTAATGACTCAATTGATTTATATTTCCACCTGTCGATAAATACACATTTGTTTATTCATTATGTGGCTGTGATGTATATTTTTTTGCGAGCTTGGAAATTTGCAGCATAGTTAAATTGCTTTTGGGAGTGTAGGTGGTAATTTTTTTCTTTGCTCTTTCACTTTCTTATGTTGAGTGAGGAAGTGAGTGATTATTTTGGGAAAAGGGTGGTCTTTTTTAAATGAGTGTTATGTGTAGGTTTTGAAATGCTTTGAGAGTGTTTTTTCTTTTCATGTAGTATTTTTTGTATTTTAATTGTTAGATTTTTTTTAGCACGTTTAAAGTGTTGCCAATGTATGTTTTTTCCATTGGGTGGTAATTGAGAGTTGAGGTGAAGATTTAACATTTTTTCTTTGTGGATCGGTTTTGAATGAGGTGGAACAGTGTCATAATAGAACCCAAAAGACCCGAGTACGAGCCATGGCTAACATAAGTGGCAGGTCATATCTGAACTGATTCTGGGCTGCCACCATGGGAACGAATGGTCAAACGACTTCCAACATTGGATTAACAAAGGGATGTAAATTATTATAAGTATTACTTATCTGCATTTAAAAGTTGTGTGATTGTTTTGATGGGTATTTTGTCGATGGTATTGGGTACATTTTGGGAATGCATATTTTTTCGTTTCTTTTGTGATATATTTTGAACGCTTTAAGATGGGTTTGACCATGTTTAAGTGGTGCGAATTATAATATTCAAAGGGTTTTTGAATTAGGATCTATGTATTGCCATTTTGAATAATTTTGCTAATTGCATTGCTTCCTTTTTAGATTGTGGTGTTTAGTTTGAATTTTAGATACTTTGTTTTTTTTTACAATTTTGCAATATTTTTTTCTGAAACTTTTCTTGGAAAGTTTAGAGAACTTCATCTGCTGTTCTATTTATGGGGAGGATCTGAGTTGTTGCTTTTTTGTGGCCCGTCTTTCTCCCAGACAATGCACCGATTAAAGTGCGTGTGTCTCAATCATGGTTATACATTAAAATTTTGGTCGGAGTTGAATTGTCCCTTTATCACTCCAGAGTTGAGAAAATTAGTTTGCCATTGGGGGACATCAACAGTGATTGTCCTGTGGTGTAACTGGCACTTGCCATAGGAATGTGGAATTTCCATGACTGACTCAAGAGCCATCATCTGAGATTAATCTTGCTCCACGCTTGTTTAAACAAATGCTAACTTTTCGTTTTCAGAAATGTGATTTATTTTCTCTTGAAAATATTGGTTTATATTTTTAGTTTTACTTGTTCGATAGTTTTGATTGTTCATCCTTAATTAAAATTGTTGGTTAAAAGATGTAGTATTTTTTTTCTTGTTGGTTGTTATGTTTTTTCACATGCACTATTGTTGAATAATTATTTGGCATTTGAAATGTGCTGCATTTTTTGGAAAAGGTGACTTTCTAAAGAATGTTTTTGCTTGGGATATATTTTGAATACTGTATTTTATCAGTGCACGTTATCATTTAGCTATATAGACATCAAATAGTTTATAATTTTAAAAAGTCTGCAAAAAAAGGTGGGAAAATAGCTAGCACTGTTGCAGGAAAATTTAATATTGTGCCATTTCTTTTTGTGCCCATACATTTCACATAGGAACGGTTACGTAATCTTTCATGAATAAATGTATGGACTGCAGGGAAAATATATTTAGTGGGTACAGATATACGTACAATACTCTGCAATTAATGCGTGGAAGATTATCCCAGAATGTTTGCTATGGATAGCAGCGTGTGCTGAGCTGGGAGGAATTTTACCCGAGCCAAAATTGTCGGGAAGTCGACACCTTACACAAGCGTCAAGAATATAATGAAATTTTAAAAGCAACATAAATTATCCCTGCAGGGATGTTGGGTGCATGCTGTGCATTGCAATCATTGAATTGCATTCGTTGCTCAATAATTTTAAAATAAAATGGATCTGACATTGCATTTCGTGTTTTGCAAGGCTGACGTGCACATGGTGTGCCATTGTGTTCTGCGGGTCGCCATCATGATGTGTATCGTGTTTGAAGGCTGTGTATTATTTAACGCGAGTACTGTGGCTGGCTTAAGGCACCAGCAGTTAGTGCTTTACTGAATGGTAATTACCTCTATCTATGTTTTCCTAATGCATGTATACATTTAAACAAATTTCCCCTATATATGCTTACACCCATATCTGTGTGGATAAAATATATACGTTAGATTATCCTTGTAAGATTGTTGATGTCTGCATCTAGGTTATTTTAAGACTGTTATCCATCGTTAATGAATTGAAAATACTTTTTTAAATCACGTGTAGTTGGAGGATTAGAATTCTAAAAATATTATTGGAATTGCGTAATAATACATTTTGTAGGTGTACCGTGGCAACATTGCCATTCATTGAGCTACAGTTATTGTAGAGTTGGGAATGTTTATGTTGTTGATCGATAGACCACACGGTCTTGAGTAAGTTAATGGTGTGTTTGGCCACATTTTCCATTACCTTGGAGTTCAGTTGTGCCATATCTTAGAATCCAAGCATACATCATCCTGGCTAGCATCTGTATGGGAGACTGTCAGCCAGGGAAAGGTCAGTTTTATGTAGTTTTTTTTCTTGCATAATTAGAAGATCTCTCGAGACCCATCCTGGTCTTAGAAACTTTTGAGTACTGGGACTATACCCAACTTCTTTGGAGGCTTTGGGTGAAATTAGAAAATTCCACATTCCTCTGGCAGGGGTCATTGTTTCAATATGATATCTGACAACCCTCCAAGGACAGAATGCATCCGAGGGTGCAACCATTGCCAAGATGAAGCGATGAGTTAATGTGCAGGAGTGAGATGGATGGTAGCAGCACTGCTATCCCACTTGTAGCATTGAGGGAAGGTGACAGAGTGGGGAGGTGTACATCAGTAGATAAACAATGTCAGATTATGCCGACGACGACCATCCACAGTGGTATTTTAGTGCACCAGAGAGAAGTTGGGCTGAGTGGGCTCCTGACCAGGATTTTAACAATGTGCATCCTCAACAATTGTGAGTCGAGCACCCTCTCAGCATCTCGGGGCCAGATTTTCATGAACAGAATGAGCATGAAAATATATAATTGTTCCATCCACAATGTGACCCAGTAAAATAACCAATTGGACAAATTCCGCACATCTGGCTTAATTATAATTTTAAGGGTTTCCTTGTTGCCAATTGAAATGTTTTATGTCAGATAGTGTTTTCTACATACATGTTGACCAATGTTTTATGTTTTGGGAGCTTTTCAAGAGCCCAACTTCATTCAAGTGTAATACTAACTTGAATTGTAAACAGCCTTGACATAAACCATAAGGGGGCTTTCCGCACCTGGTGTTTGCGTCCCATGCACATTAGCATACCCTGTGTTTTGGTAAAGGCTTTTAGCGATGGTGGAACAATACTTTGACTATGGGAAGGCAGGGGGTGTGTGTGTGTCACGCTTTTGTCCCCAGTGTGGAATGAGTTGCTAAGAAAACAAGTTTCCAGTTAACTGTTGTTGTTGTTGTTCATCGCAGTACCAGCCTTATGGGGGCGACATTGCACCTATGGCTCTTGACCACGTTTATTTACATTTACAAGTGCGTTCTGGTGCAGGAATCCTGTGCTATCTATGCAAAGCCGCGCTTGCTTGCTGAAGGCAAGCTGTCACATGCAGCCAGTGCAGTAACGTGTGTTGTTGCTCACTGCCCTTCGAGGGGGATTGGCTGTGCAGTTGGTCACTCGTAGTGATGATTTGCTTTCGGTGTTCTCAGAATTGTACGGCTTTGCTTGTGGCTCAGGGGAGCCCAAGCTAATTGATTTGAGTACCTTCCCAAGATCCACTGCTGTTGTAAATGTTAGTGTCCACTCATACGCCAGACACTTATATAATCTCTTTTCATTACGGATGTTATATAAGTGAGAGGGGTGGATTCAGTCCCATTTGCTGCGTTGCCACTCATTGAAACTGGTTTGGAAAAGGGTTGCCTCAATTCAGCCGGTTTGTTGTTGCACGAAAACAAGGAGGTGCACGTGGGCTGTTTGAACGGGTGTGCAGCTGCGGCTATCTCGGGACAGTCCTGCAGCGGCGGTGCCGCCAGGTTTATCCAGAAATGTCAATAAACAGCAAGTGCAGGAAACGTAAACGTTAAAGAGATCGCCATGACTCTGCTCGTCGTGTAAGCGTGGAGGAGTTGTTTTGAGGAAGACGAAGCTTTTGTACGGCCATGAATTTCACAGGATGTTTTTAAAGGTTACTTTTGTGCTTGCAGACTGCAATGCCACTTCGTCTAGGGAAGCTCAACCAAAGGAAAAAAAAACACGTGCTGTAGCTCTCGTTACTATTCAGCTAGGATGTGTGTCTTCGTCTGTCCAGCACACTTTTACAACTTTGTGAATTAGAAAGTAAACTTTAAAGTTGTGGTCATCCGTGCCATTATGGCACTCGAGTGACATCAATGGGATGTGCCTCTGATGCATATTAATGTAACATCAATGCAGGCTAATTTTAATGTATTTTAACCAAGTAAACTTTATACCCCTTGTATGGTAATGAATGTGAAACCCTAATGGTGTGGACCAATCACGTGTATGTTTTGTTAGTATTTTTGTTTTACGTTACATTCACAGTAGAGAGTAAGACTCCCTCTCTTTCTTGAATCATTACTGGTTTCAGAAAGCTCACTGGCAATCACCTCTCAACTTTGCTTTTGTGTTTTGTATATGAGAGGTGGTTAAGAGGTACTTTTCATAATTTTTATGTTATTAATCTTGACTTCCCAAACTGAGCTCGTCTTGAATTGGAATGATTACTAATTCAGATTTGACATTTTTTTGTTCTAATAGGAAGTTCGGAAAGTTTATGTAGGGGATGGTTTATTGAACTCGAGCAGTGACTCACTGGTGTTGAAATAAGGCCTTGGATGAAAACAAGTAGTTGGTCTGTCTTTATTACAGTGAAATGCATCATCACCATGTGTGTGTAGATATTCCAAAGTCTTCTGAGAAAACGTGGCAAAAAAAACACAGTTATGCAGCGAAAGTATAATGTTGCACGCATACTCCAGATATATATAGTTGTTTACCAAGGTGAGCGTGTATATGATGTTCGTAGTGAAAGTGACTGTCGTTGGTCTTCTACGATTAATGAGTTGACATACCTTCTGGGGGTTATGGACACGTCTACTAAGTTAATTATTTCCTCCACATTACTTACGAGGATGTTTGCCTTGCACCTGACAGCCCTGCTATAGATTGTTCTGATAAAGTTACTATTGTGTCATCCTACACTTGTTACTGTTTGCTTGTGAAGCACCAACCAGGAAAAGAGGTCTTCATTCCTCGTTTTTATTTCCCATTTCACAGGTTATTTGCACGTGTCCCGGTTTTATCAGGAACCACGTGTTAAACTTTGTCTCTGCTAGCAGCTCTTGAGTTTTTTTCATCCAAAAGTTACATGTGCCAAATAATAAAACGTTTAAGCGACCAGCCGGATGAATCACTCTTAAACATTCACAGCTGTAGTGAACATTAAGACACTCGGTGAAGACTTGTGTGCCCCATAGGCTTGGTTATGCGATTTCAGTGCTTATGCTACACGCCACCAGTAAGACTTTGCCATCTCCGCTTCACGCAACACTCTTAAAAAAGATTAACATTTGCATACATTACTTCACCAAAACCAAGTCTCAAGAGTCTTTGGATTGGCAGGATGAGGGCTATCATGCGAAACCTGCTCATGCAGGGTTTGGATAGTTTTGAGTAGCTTATTTATGCAATTGAAATCTGGTGTGGGTCACCAAATGATCGTAATCTGGAACACTGCTGTTTATGTTTTCACATTTCTCGCTTCATCCAATGTTTGCCATGTTTCGCAACAAATCATTTCTTAACGACCGACTGTGTTTAGGGACGAAGTGACCTGTCATTCAGTCACTGTTTGGAAATATCTGAAACAATATGATACATACCAATGCGATATGGCAAGGCAGCAGACCTGGAGTGTGGTGCTTTTTAATAATAATGTGCATTATTATGATTGCAATAAAACCCCAACCGCCTTGTTTTTTACCCCAACCGCCAAATAACCCTGCTCAATGGTGCATTTATGTGCATGATTATACCACCCACTCTCATTGCTTCGATAAATTGTCACGATTCAGTGTTGACATTAATTAAAGAAATACTAAATCTTGACTTAAAGCTTTCGTGACTGCAGGAATTCAAACTTTTTGGGTCTTTCGGTAAAGTCACGTGGATAGAAAAATAAGAATAATGATCACGGAGTTTCGATCGAAATATGAGAAGTATACATATTTCTTCCTGCCTCAGCAGTCTGCCTGCTGTATTTTTTCACCTGAAGACGATTGCTTGTGTTGCGATCGAAACGTCGTGATTTATTATTATTTTATCATTTTTCTATCTACATTAATCAATCTTTTCGTGTACGGTTTTTATTTTTCATGTTGTGTCTATACAGTTTTTTTCCACTCCCTTAACTGTGATATTACATGAGAATGTATTTTGCATCAATCGTAAATTATTTATTCTCGATTCCATGTATCATGAGAATAAGAATTATATACATAGCCTTGTAATGATAATTCCTCATAAATCACTGAGTGACTAAAAACTTTGACGTAGGTTTTTGCAGTTGTGCTGTTTAGTTCTCCGATGTGTTTTTAGGATGATGGGTTCGTGCCAAACAACACGTGCAATCCGAAAAACTAATCGGAAATACCACAAACTAGTTTTGTGAGGAGGGCATTGAGTGATTGCTGGGGCATCTCGTCACCTCCGCCTGCAAAATGCAAAGCTCTGAATTGACATTGATGCGCCCCTTATTTTGGGTTGCAGGTGTGTCCTCCGGTTTCCGAGCACAACCATCCGGCTGCGCTTCACCTCGTTGGTGTGGGAGACCAAGTCCCCAGAAGGCGTGAGCCTCGGTGGAGTTGGCGCCGGAAGCGCTGGCGGTGGAGACCGGCGCTCCCCATCGCCCCCGCTACAGCCCCTGCACCCGGACATGTCCCCGCTCAAGCTGCACATCCCCGAACCCGGCCTGGACGTGCCGAGCCCCATGCCCTCACCCACGCACACAATCAGGTCCGCGGATACCTCGTACGCCCCGGTTCTTGCTTACGGCTCGGCTCTAGCTTGACTTGGCTCGGACTCCAGTTGGCCGACTCAAAGCCACGCTGAGCTTGAGCAAACTATTTAGCACGGTTCCAGTCATGCTCAGGATTTGCATAAGCCAAGCCATGACTGAGCCGCTCGTACGTGACTGGAAGCAACTGAGCCGGCTCGAGCGTGTGGCGAGCCGAGCCGGCTCGAGCGTGTGGCGAGCCGAGCCGGCTCGAGCGTGTGGCGAGCGGGAGCTGAGCCGTGACTAAGAATACAGCTTGTAGAGTCTTAGTTCTTCTTGGTATTTCTCGCCACTCGTGGGGGTTTCTTCGCTTGGCCCCCTTTCTCCACTCATTCATGTCCTAGCCATGTGAGTATTCTTTCAGAGATGCCTCGTAGTCTTAGATGTCGCAGCTGAAACAAGAGACAACTTATACAGCTAACATAATATCACCATAGCTAGCTTGATATGAAGGGGAACACAACAAAAAACATGGCTTCTCAATATTGCTAATACAAGGCTACTGTATATAAAGAAACATGTTACCTACCAACATAAACACTCAGACCGGACTGAAACCATCTCAGCTCGATCACCAATGACTTCACACAAGTAAACCCGTCACATTAGATGTGGATTTAAAGCTTTCGTGACTGCAAGGATTCATCTTCTTTGGTTCTTTCGGTAAAGTCACGTAGAATGAGAATAAAATAATAAAATAACACAATAAAATTCTCACGACGTTTCGGCCACAACGGCCGCTTGCGTTGTGGCCGAAACGTCGTGAGAATTTTATTGTGTTATTTTATTATTTTATTTTCATTCTACGTGACTTTACCGAAAGAACCAAAGAACATTAGATGTGATTATGCACTTAATTTGGCTCCATTCCAGGGCTGAGAATACGGAAAAAAATGTGATTGCCTGTCGGTTGCATAGCGGCTGGGAAAGTGCCATCCTCTACTGCTTGAAGGGATCTCGGAGTTGGCACTGATATCTGCTTCGGTGGGCCATTTTCTAACACGAAGGAATGCGCTGCCATGTGAGAGAACACAAATGGATACTTTGCCTCGTAACATAATTGGTGGAAAAGGACGTTTAAGTTGACAAGCGGCGTCGCGTAGCATGTAGACCGGGCTAACACACACTGCCATTGTGCGCGCGCCTCTGTGTGTTTTGGGAGACAGCGCGGCCAACTCGTGCCCGGCCAGCCCTCGCGGGGCGGGCATGTCGGGCATGTTGGGCTGCCGCAACGCCCGTCTCACGCTCGCCGATCTACACTTGGCGGCGGAGTTTGCTCAGAGCGCTGCCGAGAAAGAGGCGGAGCCCCTGGTGATAGCGGCCGAGACGAACTTGAACCCCAACCCACCGCCCGCCCCTACCGGGGAGGAGAACCGGCCCAAAGTTCAGGTAACGGCAGCGCGCCCCCGACAACGTTCAACGCGCCCTTCGCCACGATGTGGGGTGAGGGGGGGGGAAACTTTCGTGCTGGCTGTCGGTGGTGGTGCTCTTGTTTCAATTATTGTCCGCTTTACAACGGGCACTTGAACTTTGGTAGTTGATTGCATTAAATGCTGGACTCTGGCAGGAATTGGACTTCAGGCTGTGTAAATTGTCCTATTGGCCGTGTCTCTGCCCTCAACATTTTCTCACAGACTGCCATGCACCACTGACTTATTTTTGAAAATGAAAACTACTGTAAAAGCTCAGTAAAATTATAGAAAGCTATAAAAAAATATTGGCTTGCCTTTTTATTGATGAATATTAATAAGATGGCTGATGCTGATATTCGTGCAATGGCCAGTAAAGTAAAACATGTTTTTAATGAAAAGGATCATATTATCTGCCACGGTTCTGCGCATCACTTTCCATGGCCCTGTGGTTCCGCAGACCACCGGTTGGGAATCGTTGCAGTAGACTATACAGCCAAATGTAATATTTATTTCCGTGTTCATTACTGACCTTTCATGAAAACTTGTCTTCTCTTAAACATAACATGTACATGCACAAATACTAAGCTATTATATATAAAAAAAGCCTGGCGTTTTGTTTGTCCATTTGTCTGCCAAGTTATAGAAAGTGGGGGGAGGTAAATAGTTGATCATAAAGGTTTCCAAAAATTGTTGACCCCCCCCCCTCCAAAAATGTTTTACCCACCACCCAATTTGTATTTTGTAAGCATATATATCTTACATACAATAGAATCAGTAGTATCTAGTGACTCTGCAGTAGTATAAACTGACTCTATAGTCGTATCTACTGACACTACAGTAGTATCTACTGACTACAGTAGTATCTACTGACTACAGTAGTATCTACTGACTACACAGTAGTGTCTACTGATGCTACAGTCGTGATCTACTGACTCTACAGTAGTATATACTGACTCTACAGTAGTATCTACTGACTATAGTAGTATCTTCTGACTCTATAGTAGTAACTGCACACATTGGGGTGAGGGGGGGACATCACACTGTTCAGGATTTACTCAGGGTATGCTTCTGCTGCAGTAACTCTGCTTGATTGTTTTTATTTTTGGCATTTTTTTACGCGAAGACCCTTCCTCCCCTTCTCAGCAAGCGTGTTTGCGTTGCTAGGTGCAACCGCGAGTCCGGCGTTCCGCGCATGCGCAGATGCGTGCTTCGGCGCACGTGCTCAAAGTTATCATTACATCAGAGTACATTGTTACAAAGTGTTATTTTCTTCGTTTAGATTGGACCAAGGACAAGTGTTCATCAGGGGGCTTAGTTGTTGTATTTGTGTACTTTGTTGAAACGTTACAAGGATGGCGTACATACACGGACAAAACACTTTTATAGGTAAGATAATCGTTTTCTTTAGTTTCCTGCCCAATTGTTGACAACACACTACGGTGTGAACCCGACGACCCGAGTTTGATTCTCAACCACGGCTAACATCCATGGCGAGTGATCACTGAACCAGTCCTGGGTGGTTCACTTGGCAAACCTGTACTGACCAGTAGAGTGACGTATGATCATTCAATCCCCAATAACTGACACACAATGGGTAGGCCTTCATCCAACAATGAATTGATTGATTGATTAAGGGCCGTAATTTTTTTCTCTCACATGAATGCTATGTTCAATCTCTTCAACATTGCACTCCTGTTAATCGTCAAAGACTTAATTCTTTCATATATTCCATTATTAATGTCCTCATTGTCATGACTGTCAACTGGCATGATTAGTTTCATTATCAGCTCCATCATCTGCATTATTAACCGAAAGAAAAAAATGATTGAACATTATCCATGGCGGGAAACAGTATTTGTATTGTTGTTCACATAGCCACATTATCTTTGCCTTGCGCAAGCCTATCAGATTACTCTGTGTTTTTATGCGAGTGTATGTACCTTACTTGTGCGCGCGTGTGCGTCTTAGACTGCACATCTTGCCTTTGAGCAGGACGAGAGCAAGCCCCCCTACTCGTACGCGCAGCTCATCGTGCAGGCCATCACGTCGGCGGCCAGCAAGCAGCTCACGCTCAGCGGCATCTACGCCTACATCAGCAAACACTACCCGTACTACCGCGCCTCCGACAAGGGCTGGCAGGCACGACGGAAAGCGCACCCCGCGGCTGCTTTAGCTTTTACTGCTCGCTTGCGTTATATATCGCGAACGGCCATGCACGAGGTTTCCATCTCGACTCTTAAGAGGAGGCGGTGTGGCGATGGCATTTATCGTTAGTCAGGCCACCAATGCTGAGATATCCTAGGCTATTGCCAAAAAGGAAACCAATTTATAAATTTCATAGCATGATCGTCTCAGCTCATTTTCCAATGACGGTATAAAAATAATTTCTTGAATTAGATTTTTGTAATTAATTCACCAAACCCAGCTCTGACGACTAAATTATAATGCTCGTCTTTTTTGAGTACTAGTTTATTTTTATCACTGCGCACCTGCGCAACTTGCTGGGAATTGCCAAGTTAGTGTAACAAACTAGTCTTGAAGTATATACTGACTTGATTATCAAGAGTAAGCCCTCGTGTGCGTATCGGTGCAATTTTTACCTTAGATCAATTTCTCCGCAACTAATTTGAAAAAGAAAAACATCTTTATAGCACACATTTGCCCAGACCTCATTTTTCGAGCTGTTACCTATCTAATTTGCCTGTTGCACGCTTAAATAATCAATGCTGAACGAGACGTTCAAAGAAGCCTAAGTGGGATTCCGCAGGCGCTCGGCTCTCCCTCACCCTTTTTTCTTCCAACAGAACTCGATCCGCCACAACCTGTCGCTGAACCGCTACTTCGTGAAGGTGCCTCGCTCGCAGGAGGACCCGGGCAAGGGCTCGTTCTGGCGCATCGACCCGGCGTCGGAGGGGAAGCTGGCGGAACAGGCGTACCGCAAGCGGCGCGCCCGCGGTGTTCCCTGCTTCCGGGCGCCCTTTGGCCTCCTCTCGTCACGGTGCGTGGCCTTCGACCCCGGCCTTCCGATCATTTTTTTTTTCATCGTCGTGTTTTACTGTAACGTTCTTTATAATCTGGAGATTAAGCTAAGTGTCAGCATTCATGAAGTCAGCAATTATTGACTCTTGACAACATACTCGCCACCGCCTTGGCTGTGGAATGCAGAGAAGTGAACCACATAAAACAGGGCCCCTGCCAGCACCTCATCATGTCACCCACGGCCGCCATCACTGTAATGTGGCCAATATGGCAAATTGGGCTGCAGGTAGCGCATGGTGACCACATGCTATCTCCTGCATAAAAGAGACCTGTGTTGAAACTGGCTCTCTTCTGCTTCTAATTAAGGTCCATTGATCGATGCAATTCATTAGTGTCGTAATGGATTGGCTAATATGCAAAATGTACTGAGCAGAAAAATGTAAGTCCTAATAATATGCATTCGAGTCTTTCTCTTACATTTTTCAGTACATCCCAGCTCCATTACCCCTATTGGGATTGCTAGGCATGCTGACCACTGGAATACTTTCTCCTTTGAAAACTATTTCTTTAGAACTGATTTTTGTGTTTAGTTTGTTGTCCTCCCGCCCGTCCGACGAATAGCATGGTTGGTTACATACGGTAGCGAAAACGTTCAACAAACATACTCGGAAAGACAAAAGTCGAGATTGAGTGATGAGACCTGCATGTCGGTGTGTGTGGGGAGTGGTGGTGCAGCGGTTAGCGCACTGCTGTACGAACCAGGACACCCGAGTTTGATTCCTGGTCACGGCCAACACCAGTGATGAATATCTGAACCGGTCCTGGGTCTCCCTATGTAAATTTAGCCTTAAATGAGTGCCTGGTGCAGTGTGTAAACATCGCGCCAATGGGGAAGACGAAGGCAGCTGGCCCTGGTGCTGGCCACCCACCCCCTCGTGTGCCATGCCGGCCGACCTTCATAGGTCCTCACAAACAGCTCCTGCCCCAACAGTGTTAAGGCTACACGGGGGCTCTTTGTCTTTGTGTGCATACAGGAGCGCGCCCCCATCGCCGACTCACCGTGGCTCTCTGGCCGGGGTGGAGACCCCGGACTGCTTGTCCCGTGAGGGGTCTCCCACCCCCGCCGAGCACGAGGGCGTCTCCACTCACCACCCAACTCTGCCCACCCTCTCGGATGCACGCTACACGCAGAGCGCGCCCGGTGAGCGTCGTGCACAGCCCTTTGCTCTGTCTGCCGTGTTTCGTAAGTTTGGAGAGGTGGCGACGCACGGCTGTAATTTTGTGACTCGGAGGCAGAGTTGGTGGATCACATGGTGTAGATGTAGCCAAGGGGTGCGTCAGAAATTCACCTGTGGGTACGATGGGGTGGATGTCTGCAGGGGGCAGTGCGAGCAATGGAGGTTGCCAAAGGGCTTTCTCTGTTTTCTGCTTTTGGGTTTTCTCCAGGTTCATCTGGATTTTTGCCACATGAAAAAAATACTTCAAATGTTGGCTAAACATCCCAATTTTTGCGTGTTTATACATGTTAATATTGATTTTTCAAATAACATCTTATTTTTCATATGTATATATTAAGCTATAAAATAGTATAAATCGTCAGTGACGGTTCATAATTAAATTTATATTCACTGCAAAATATAATTGCTATTAAATAGTATTTTAAGACATGGCGGTTGCGGTATCAGGGCTCTCACAAATTTACATAAAGGGTTTCCTTTCTGCCCGTAAATGAGAGCACAGTGAATACTGTCCTCGTGCTTGTGTTGCTTGCGCGAAGGTGGATGCTCTGGTGCAACTTGTGAACATAATTGCTGGGGAGAGTTAAAGCCAGCCACGACTGGCCTCCTTTAACATACTTTCCCACAATAAATAGATGCTCCCTAACAATATGGCTAGACTTAAATTGTGTTGTGTTTTTGTCATTGGCAAAAGAAAATGTCAATTACTTTTTTTAAATTGTGTTTTCAACATCGGCTTTGCTAACATGCGGTACACATTAAACGTTCACGCGAGATACGCAATAGTGTGCGATTATTATCAATGCTAAAATAACGTAAGATAGAAGTCGATTATCTGAATAATAGTATAGCCCACAGCTGATTGGCACACACGTGTATATGTATAGCCCTTTTGCCAATGCACTGGTGGACGAGAGCCTCTGCACACCTTGCAGGTCATGGAGGTTATATGATCATACTTCACGATAGCAGTGTGGGTTGGTGAAGGTGTGGAGCATGCACGTGGGAGTGTAGGAGTACAACACAACAATGGATTTTGCTGCGCTGCTTTCCGCTGCCCACTATACAGCTATTTCACTGTGCCTGAGACCAGCAAGCCAGCTGCATGCAGCTATGTTGTGAATAGAATTATCAAGCTTATAAGTGATCATGCGGCAATCCGATGTTACACTTGTTTGGTAACTGTCCTCGGCTAGTGGCAGATCTGTTGACCCCATACCGAACAAAGTGTGACCGCGACATTTTTTTTTGACCTTGTCAGGCTCTCCCGTGAGCAGCAGCCAGCCCATCCTGGTGAGCTTGCAGCACCAGCTGCCGGCGCTCATCCCCACCAAGCCTGGCACGTTCACGCTGGCGCCGGGAGGCACCTATACCATAGCGACGGCGGCCCCGCCAGGCCGCGCCGGTCAGACACTGGGCACCAGCGCTGGCAACCCCACGCCCGTGGTGGTGCAGACGGTCACGGTTCTGCGGCCTGTGTCGTCGTTGGGCCCGCTTGAGATGCGGGGTGGCCTGCCGCAACAGATGCAGGTTCAGACGGCGCAGGCGCACCTGCAGACGATGCAAACGGTGCAGATGCAGCCAGTGCAGGTTCAGGTGCAAACAGCGCAAGTGCAATCGGTGCAAGCGCAAGCGATGCAGGCGATGCAGGCCCTGCAGGCGGGTCAGGCCCGGCAGATGCAGGCTGCGCCCGTGCAGGCGACGCAGGTCCAAGCCGTGCAGCTGCAAGCGGTGCAGCTGCAGCTGCAAGCGCAGCCTCCGTCCAGCACCACGTCGAGCCCGACGCTAGGTGAGTCTGTGCTAAAGGAGTTGTGATGTATGTCGGCGGTTGCTGCACTTGAAATGGTCTTTGTGTAAAAAAATATATGTAATGGCTTGTGTAGTCAAACCAGGTTCTGTGAGGTTTTTTTCCAGCTGGTGAACTCATTGAGCCCATGAAGAGACGCTCTTGCCATCTGATGACTTGTGATTTTATAAGTTGGGTTATTTAAGAGTTATGACAATTACTTAACACTTACGTAATTACCGAATTGTTTTGTTGCTCTGTTGAGTGTCAAACGTTCTTAATAGAGTAATTATCCCATGTGCCACCAGATGGCGATGTTCATCATCATCATGAACCATGGGCAGATAGCCCGTAGGTGTCCACTGCACATTTTGTAATTTTTTTCCACTTTCCTTTATCTTGTGCAAATATGTGATGGCAATGTTACAATTAGAATATAAACAGGAAAAAGCGCTGAATGAAATTCATGTGGGCAGGCAGTGGGTAGTGTACTAATTACATAATGAAATCCTACTGTTAATTTTCTCTCTCGTTTCAGCTGTAGCAAACCCGTTGCAGCTTTTGGCTGCGCATGCGTCTGCCTCGGCCGCGCTTGGCACTAAGCGCGCCGCCATCGCGGAGAACGTGGGCCCCAAAAACGTGTCGGCTGAAGAGCCTGTTCAAAAGAGGCTCTGCGCAGCGGTGAGGAAGGAAGAGTCGGAAGATGACGGTGATGTGAGCAGCGACGGTGAGGGTGCCCCGCTTGTAATTGCGACTGGACCCGACGCGACACTTCACAGCAATGGGGTGGATTAAAAACACATTGGACACATCCTGTTGTGGCTTCCCTGCTGTTTTAGGTCGGGCTTTGGTGATGCCCGTGTTATTGTGTTCCTAAATACATTTTATTGGCCAGAATGTGGTCCCACCCTGCCAATAAGACCTACCACCGATGGAAGAAAAGATGTCACTGTTGTTGTCTCTGCAAGTTGAAGTAAATTAATTTTGAGTCGCAAAAGTAAGAAGAAAGAAGACAATGGAACACATTTGCTTATGGTCTTAAAGTCTGTCCCAGAACCATGAGGAAGTCATGGAATGAGCTAAGTGTCAGAACTTAAAAGATTTATGCAATAAGAAACATCAAGCAACGTCGTATTCGTTCTGCCATCATACGTGGCTGGCCAAGCAGCCAGAACTGTGGACATGTCTTTAGAACCGGCAGCGGCTGTTACTGTCTGAAAAACTATAAACATTTCACCAAATACTGCTTTGGAATGGATAGGGATATTCCCTTCGTCTTAACCGCTCTTCTGTAAGGAAACTGCTTTCTGCATTGTCACTGCTGGCCATGTCCGTGACATGATCACATACCACCCTAAAGGGGAGAGAAAAACTACACGTTGGGTTTGCATGGAAAAAGATAAATATAAAACTAATTTTTGCTTACTATAATCCTGTTTTTCTCGGATCCCTACATATTGCTGGCTTGGTATAAATGGGCATCTGTAAGATGATCTTTCTCCAGGTGAGCGAAGTTAAGTGTGAGATAATTTTGCAAACGTTTTGTGCAAGGAGTGTATCTCGAGTCTAATGAGTACTGCCTTTGGTAACATTAACGTAAATCCAAAGGATGCCGAACTTCAAGTGTCGGTTGGAATTATGAGTGGCGTTGGTGTCATTTATAAATCGCAGTTGTGCGTACTCTTCTCACGGTACCATTATTAGCCTCTTTCTCTTTGTTTGCATTACTCAACAAACTTTGTTGGACATGTCATTTTTTTTGTTGTTGCTGACAATGACTGGACTTAATCTCGTATTTTGTTTAAGTAAACCTGAATCAGGGAGCTATGTGCCCGAAAGAATGTTAAGTGAAAAAAAATTATCAGATTTAGTGTGCGACTTTTGTCACTTGACCACAAACATTCGTCCTTCACAATTTTCAATATCAATTATCGTGCTGCAGCCGGAGATATTGTGCGCTGACAATTGCTATGTTTACTGTTGTGAATAAAAAGAGGCTAATGGTAAAACAATGCATACCGGTTAACTTAACACCTGTTTTTCATGGTTCGTACATTTCTACTGTATGGCTGAACGTGCATGCTTACAAAACGGATGTGCTTGCCTTTGGCACTAAAGCAAAGGATGTAGTTGTCAGCCCATTTCTAATTTTATTTGCCTATCTCTTGGTATTATTTTCTCTATCTACCTCCTTTTTATGTTTCTTAAAAGGTTTATTTCATTTTTTTAATTCGTATTACGATGCTTCCCATGTCTACATATATACGGTATTTTTTTTCTAATATCAATGCAGTATCACATTTTTATAGTGCGTACAAATGAGAATTTAAATCATACTGACAATGGGCTGTGTGATGTGCGTAGATGGATTTTTTGGTCATTGGAACTAATTTGCATAGCAAACAATGGACTCTTGGCCAACAACTAAATTGCTGCATTATGCTCATTAACCAGTGGTTGACATTTATGAACTGTACGATTGTTTTTGTTAGAGCCTTTTAAAAAAAAAAAATTGTACTCTGTCCATATAATTTAAACAATCTGAAATACAGTAAAAGAAAAGTGAACCTTTGTAACAGGTTGGCAGTGTTTCAATTCACCCTATTTTCCAGATCATTAAAGATTGCACGCGTCTCGTGATACGTAAATACTGACAGCTAACCAAGTGTTGCTGTTCTATTTATGGGCGGGAGGTAATTTCAAATTGTTGGTGAAACAACAAATAAACACATAACCACCTTTGCTGCAAGTCTTTTGGGGATTTGATGGCCAAAGACAGGGTTAAAGTAAACATTAACATCAATAGAAAGTAACATAAGACGTGAGAAAGTATCTTGAAATTTACATTAAGCTGTGGAAGATTGATGTAATCAGATGTGCTACGTGTAGGGCATATATGTATACTGTGCAGGACATTTATTTAGATTAGTTTTTTTAAACAAGAGTTGTGTTTTCCATGGTGATATGGGCCAAATATGAAAACTAAGAACCAGAAGTTCTGCTTTTGGTAAAAAAAAACACATTTACTTGGAATCTTTGTTTTCTATTTCGAATTGTTGGAATCTTGGTTCTTCGAGTAACCAGCATTAAAATGCCAAATTGCAGTGCCCTGGTTTTTACTGTTTTTGAGCAACAAAGCCATCTTGCATGTGGTATTTCTGAAGAATGTTTTAAATGAATAAAAAGATATAAACAAAACAGCAGGGTCGGCGGGGGCTTCCTGTAGAAAGGCAGAAAAAATCTTATAATTTATGTGAATCCTACACGTGAAATATTTGCTGCAAATCTTGTGGAGCAATGTTTGGTACACAGGAAATGTATTTTTTGGAAATGTTATTGTGTGCCGTAAGTTGAAAATATGTCCAGTACAAACCTAAATATCGTACTATATCATCAAATTGTGAATTTCATACCGCTTACCGGAAGCCATACATCTTAGCTAAACATTATTTTAGTAGGTTATGTAGTGTTAATGAAAATAATTTAACTGAATTTTGTATTCAAGGCCCATGCTGTCAAAATTGATATATTTAGTTACATCATTGAGTGTTCAAACACATTTGTGGATAAATTAAATGAGATGTTGGGGATTCATATTTTAAAAAAACATTGGCACTGCAACTACACTACTAGATCATTGTAGAGCTTTAAAATATCAAAGCAACATGCTTCTTGGGGTGCATCGACAATAGCTGCCATTGGTGACCAGTTCCCAACAAAGACTTTTAAGTGAACTTTGAATCCACTTTTGGCAACTGTTCTCAGCATTTTATACTGAACTCGAAAATAACTTGTCACGCTTTTACGATGTGTGCATTCACATACATTTGTGTGGATATTAGTGACGTTCGCGGTATTGTGGGTTTTTTATACTGTGATAATCACATGCAGTGGAAAGCCAATAAACAAAATTGTGTACATAAATGCTACTAAGAGTCCACAAGTCTGAGGGGTCCATACATTCAATAAGATATATTTTGAAATCGCTTTTGACTCGATCATGGGCTGCATACCGAAATGTATTGTCTTTCCTCTGCCTTTACTGGGTAATGAGTGTCATTCGGGATTTTAACGATTCACCCCCTTGTTCCCTAATTCAGTTTTTAAAAAATTGGTAGTCACTATGTGATTAAAATAATTTATATTTTCCCCCATTGTGGTTCATGTATAATTTATAGTGGTAAAAAAATGTGTGAAAGGTAATTGACTTTTAAACACCATCCGATGTATTGTAATATCACTTGTATCCCTAAAGTGCAATGTGTCATTCACATTGTCATTCAAGAATTCATGAGTATATGAAAGGTGTATATAACCCGAATAATGCTTGCTGAACTTCAAGGGTTTTTTTACACTAAACACAGCCTCCACTTTAGATAATTTGCCTCAGTTGAACGAAGCATAAACACATTTGAATTGCATGCACGTCAGTTGGCAGAATGTAATCCACACAGTTTGCGTGCACATAACATAAATGTTGAGATTGGCTCAAAAGTTAGAATAAAATATTGTTTTGGTTTTGCAATCCATGGACATTTTTTTTGGTGGCTGTACAAGGAAATTACATGCTTAGCATGACTATTAGTCTAGCTTTAGCATCAGCCAGACTATAGTTTACAGTTGATTGGCATTGTGTTTAATATATTTCTATTTATAACTTTGCAAGGAATTCAATGTTAATTTCTTACCAACAATGGATAATTAACAAAGTCTGTGATTATCCACACTCATAATTGATCTTCTACATTAATCCATAGAGAACCACCGTTGAATTTCACACAAAAACATACTAATTTTATTGATCTCGAATACATATTGCATCGGGTTGACCCCAATTTGAATTTTAACCTAATGCATTGATTTGAATGCTCAGTTATGTAATAAAAGTCATGAAAACATTCAATTTTCTGCCAGTGTGTCATAAGCCACACTCCAAATGTTTTAACTATTCAGCTTTTATTTTACATAATTTAATTAGCTGATAACTGCATTTTTTTTCTTATCAGAGCCAGTTAGTACACTTTTTACAATTTTTTTTACCACAATTTAGAATATGTATCATCAATAGCCAGTTGCATATTTCATCCCAATGTTATTGTTTACATTAAATAAGTTACTGTGGTTACTCGTGGTAAGCATGAAAACATTTGAATCGCAATTACCATCGTGCAAATTGGCAGAGTATATACCGCCAATGGTTTAGGACACAGTTGGCAACATACATTTATGGTAAGCAACACAAAGCTGACGATTGCAAACTAACTTGCAGTATTTTAATTAAAGGACACCCAATGGCAGCGGTTTATCTCGTTCACAGCAAGGCACCACCATGGAGTAATGCATGGCATTCTTGAGACAAGTGCTGTGGCATTGCATGTAACCTCATGCAACAAGCAGCACGTGCGCAGCCTTTCCCATATCGTGCGTGAATGGGACGATCGCACGCGAAGACTGGAAAGGGCACGTGGCTTTCGGTATCATTGGGCTTCAATCGGAGATCCTTTGTGATGGACCAATCGGCAGATACGTTTTTATATTTCTTCAGAATGCATGCATGTGCTTATTTCTCTATATTTATTTGTATACGTGTTGATTCGTGCATGTGTATGCTTAGGTGTAAACTGCACCTGACCTGGAACAGGTTCACTTGTGGCGTCGCCGTCGGTGGCGAAATGTAACTCTTGTGTGGTGGTGGTGGTGGTGGTTTGTGAACTGTGCTACAAACCCACCAACTTCAGTTTGATTTCTGGCCAAGGCTCACATCGGAAGCAATCGATATCTGAACCGGTGCTGGGCCTTGACTAGGTCAACTCTATTAAAAAAAACAGTGCCTGGTGTGGTGGGATGAACATCGGCACTGAAAAGGCGGCTGCAAGCGTGGTGCTTGCCACGCCACTTCCTCGTACATAATGATGTCGGCCTTTAACAGGTGGTCGCTAAAAGCATGCCTCGGAAGTCGAGGCTTCTACCATTCTTAAAACGCGCCTCAGCCAATACATGCTGCACACTTAAAATGTGGAATTGTAGTGCAAGTGAAAGTTTCATAGTCGCTGCTTATTGTGTGTGTGCTTAGGGGAATGTCTATTTTCCGGCACTTTGAGCACGAACGTGACATCATCTGATAAAGTATGGTATGCTATTCTGTTTTTCTCAACACATGCCCTTTTTTATAATTTGTGATGCTTTTTTGTACCCCAAACCTAAAATTATACATTTGTACATTACATTAAAAAATATATAAACTCACTTAAAGCTCTCATTGGATCATTTTTACTCAATTTTTCATTAGGTGGTTTTAGGACAGACGTACATGAAGTTACACACAATACACTTATTACTGTTGAAGTATTGTGTAATAATAGTTGATTAATGGTAAGTAGAAAAAAAAGAAAGTTATGTTCTTGCATTTTTATATTTTAAAACCTTAACAGATTTATTGTATTCCCTTTATTGTGTATAAGAAATGTGCTTAGGTTTCTGCAGGGTGAGTGTAGTAACATTAAAATTGTATTTAAAAATAATACCCAACTCGCCAGTAAATTGTTCCCTCGTGTTTTTTTCCATTTCTCATTGTCCTTAATGTACTTTTATCACAAACTATAACTATGATTACGTTCTAGTTATGGGTATGCAATTGTGACTACTGCCTATGATAAGTTGCTGATGTACGTTTTTGCGTCCTGATCCAAACACTTGTGATATCAGTTAAGCTGTTCTTGCTTTGGCTACATAGTTGAACTGTTTAGTTTTGACCACTGGAGAAGACTCATCATTTGCAATTAAATTGGCTGAAATTTCTGCATAATACGAGCCTTGTTTAGTATAATATTTCTGGATCCATGCCCACATGCAAAAAAATCGCGCTATGAACAACTATTGCTTTTACAAAATTGATACCTCAAACTGGCTGCTAAAAATCTGACATGAAATCCAGTACTTTAGGAGTGGCCAGATGTCTGCACCACTGAAGTGGCTTGAAACTTGGTAACCACCCATGAATACGTCATTCAGGTGCTCAAGTGTAAGCACATTGATCATTATTAATTTCAGTCCAGTCATCAATTGCTGCACACAAAAAATATTAAATTTTCCTTTGCACTTTGGCTTAATTCCAGGCCTGAGAATTCAACACTGGTTTGATTTGCATGCAACAATATCAGCAGAGAGTAAAGTGTGACCTTTGTCTTTTTAAAGGATAAAATGGCCACCTGAAGCAATTGGCGGGACCCCCGGGGTCCCATCACTGCCCCGGGGTGGGGAAAAACCGCAAAGCGACAACAACTAGTGTCAATCGATTGGCCTCGTCGAGAGCTACTCGGGGCACTAAGTTTCGTAAAAAGTTGAAAAATTACACAAACACGTTAAATTCACCGCCTGGGGGGGGGGCGGTGGGGCTCGCCTTGGCAAAGAAGCTGAGGATCGACGGCTGACCGGGGCTCGCGTTTGGCCGGTGGGGTGGCGCCCAGCGTGTCGATCGCCACCTGCTGGCGCTTGTTGGCGCCAGCAGGCGGTGTCCTTGCGGGATCACGAGTGGGCGGACTGAAACAATAATTATTGACCTGATTTTTGCGGGACCTCGGGTATCCCGCCAAATGATTCACCTGAAGGATTTTTTTTTTAATCTGGTGCATTGTGAAACATATCTAACGCACATAATCCTTTACAAGGGGCAAACTGGCCGACGTGATTTCCAAATGGATCGTTGGTCTCATGACATGCGGATAGCTCAATTGGAATAAATTGGCGGGAGACTTTAAAGTAATGCAATGCATATACTCTTTAATATGAAGAACTGGTGGTAGGCACTCTTTTAGAATTGTTTAATTTTACGCATTTGTATTGTGTATACAATCTTGCAAAAAAGGAACGTTACAGTTGCTCAAGCTTGTGCGTCGATCCATTAGCGATATTTGTTGTTAACATAACTACCATGCTGTTAAACACAAACCTTATAGTGCTATTACATTAAATTTAGATTTGATGTAAAAAAAATGCCCGTAAAATGTCAACATGCTCATTCCTACATAGTGTATGTTAGGCAGGCAGCGTAACCCTTTAATGCATCATGTGGTCTCCGAATCATTCTGGCTTGTATTTTATTTTTCCCATTAATATTTAGTCGCATTTTGTTTAATTATATTTATGGAGTTATCAATTGCTTATGCCTTTAGGTGTTGGTGCAATTTCAAGGGCGATAGTATCACTTCCTGTTGAGCGAATCACCTTCTTGGTTGTCATGGATGTACATAAATTGAGGGCTCGTGAAATGGGAACTGCTGGTGGAAGAACTCAAGGTCATCGAGCCAAGGTCCTAAGCTGCATCCTGGGATATGTCGGGCTGCGTTGAAGCGTTGCATAGAGAGCTTCCGAGCCCGATTACGAACCTTTGACCACTCCTGGTACGGCATTTTAAATTGGATGTTAATCTCTATGTGCTATGTCCTTAAATATGCTTTGGCCTCCTCTCATTTGGCTCTGTCCATGTTACTTAAGAACTTAGCATTGGATACTCCTTACAGTTGTATCCAATTGTTAAGATGTCTTATATATCGATTTAAAGCTTTCGTGACTGCAAGGATTCATCTTCTTTGGTTGTTTCGGTAAAGTCACGTAGAATGAGAATAAAATGATAAAATAAAATAATACTAAAATTCTCACGACGATTCGGCTACTTGTGTTGTACCCGAAACGTCGTGAGAATTTTATTGTCTTTTATTATTTTATTCTCATTCTACGTGACTTTACCGAAAGAACCAAAGAAGGTGTCTTATGTACTTAATTTTGTCTCTCCCGGCTTCTGGTACCTATACTTTTCCCGAACAAAACATTCAGTCCCTTGTTTTCTCATTCCATGTCCAAGAAATCTAATCTGCCTCCTCTCGCATTATTCTCATACATTTTCCTGTTGTACCTGTCATCTGTAATAGATTAATGTTACTTATCTTTTCTGCCCATGTTATATAAATGTGTTGGTTCTAGAAACATGTTTTTTTTAAATGAAATACAGATGTTAATATAATGTTTCAGCATTTTACAATTCTCAGCAACTGATCTGTTTGTATACGTCACTAACAATTCGTATTTTTTTAAACTGGATTCCTGCCTTCATGTATTCAAGTCACGGTTATCCGGATATAAGAGGCCATTTTCTGAGGAAATAGACAATCTAATGTTCATTTTTAGTGTTGCTCTTCAGAGAAATATAAACTATATTTGATTTTATTATGTTTTATTTTTATTATTTTATTTCCATTCTACGTGACTTTACCGAAAGAACCAAGAAGATGAATCCCTGCAGTCACGAAAGCTTTAAATCGAAATTTATATCGGGATGTTAAATATATTTTTCAGAACAACTTTTCTGGAGTCTTGGCTGAGAAAAAATAGCATTGTTTAAAAAAAATTAGTAGCCTGATGCATGTATCAAGAACCACTTTTTTTACTAGTTTTCAGTAAAAAAATGGCTAAATATGCTGAAATCATTGGCCAATTTTAAGCAAATTATTGGCAGTAATTGTCTTTGCCAATGCATGGATGAAGCCAAAACGTGTTTTGATTGTCTCTAAAAATGTAAGCTTTGGTGTAAAGCTTGGTCTGTTCCATCTTCTTCAGCTGAGCTTGAGTTGATTCACTGCCCCTATGTTCCTGTAACAATCTTGATATGCTCGGCACAATTCTGGAGCTCAAAGGAACTACCATTATATCTGACTTCAGAATGTGGACTCTTGACTTGAGGCCAATTTTCCATTAATATCTCAACAGATTAATTTACATGAATTGATTTAACACATAGGTGTTTTGCAGACAATATTACAATTCATAATTGTGTTTTGGGTTAGGCTATGTAATGATACTGGCCAGATCATTGTGGCCTAACCAAAAATCAATTATGAACCAACATGCATTGACTTATTCCCTTTTGGTTACATTAACTAAAGCTGTAATCTTCACACTTGTCCAAACTTGAAATGACTGGTATTAATTTTACTTAAATACTAAAATAATCATAGGAGTGATTTGGTTTTATCTAGTCAATGTTTACAGAAATGGGAATGTTAGGCATGACCCAAAAGGTGATATGGGCATGTTAGGTACAAACATACTCAATTGGCTCATGTAACAAAACGTGCAAAATATTGGAAAAAGCTAAAACTTTTTCATAAATGCGACTTTTTTTGTAATCTGTATTTTCATGTGGACATGTCTCAAAGGAACAGTGCCGCTTACTCTGTCTTGTCATTACGGCTGGTACATAGCAGAGAGCCTTGTTTCTCAACGTTGAGTGGATGTCATGTTACGTGTTGCTTTTAATCTCGTGCAGCAGAACTGGCAGATTCAGAAATATAAATGTAAAAAATATGTTGTTTCAATGTAATTTTAATGTAATGGGGATACTTAACATTTGGTGATTTTTTTTTTTACATTATTGTTGAATGGCTTCTAAGTGAATGGAGTTTAAGTATACTGTCGTGTCACAGTGCATATTCATATTGGACTTTATTGAAGTTTACATGACAAATGTTTGTCATGTGCCTAGGTTTAACTCCACCTGCAGTGGCTAACCGTTTGCTAATAAAGTGAATTGGTAAAATGTTTAATGTTTGGCAAAGTTTGCCATTATTATAAAGATGTGTAATGTTTTAATAGGAATTCATGTAAAATATACACGTCTCCAGAAATGAATTTACAACTGTGTATTGCAGTATAATTAAAAGAAAAAATATATTTAACATGCGTTAATTAAATGAGCACTGATTATTTTATATATTGTATTGTATTCTGTATAGACCTGACAGATGTTAATGTATTCCAATATAGTAATCTTGTATCTTCAACTTGGAAAGTTAGTGTCTCATTTTTTGGTAAATTGATTTCAAATAAAATAAGTTAACTAATGATCTTTTTTCACTTTGAACTTTTTACATGCTTACAATGCAGTGTGTGAATTAAGATGCCAAATTATGTGTATAAATAGGTAGACTCCTCATATGATTTTTTTAGTTTATAATAAACCTCATCATATGTCACCTGTGTGCAGTTTATGTGTAGTGTGCATTCTGCGAAGGAGTCTGGACAGCACATTGTTGCATGGGAACTTCTTTGTACGTAGTTCACATTCTTATACCGTTATGTCGTACTCCGCTCTCTCTCCCTCTCTACAGTGACTGCATCACAAGCGCGTGAATCTAAATTCAAGGTAAACCGAAGGAAAGCACCAAGTGTAGCTACTCTGATGCAACGAGGAACACTGCTAATTTAGATGGTGCACTTTAGCAAAATGGAAGTAACCCCCTACGCAGTGCAGAATTACAGTAAATGTGATGAAGTATTGGCACTGTGCAAGAAGCCCAACTAATTTATTTTATACCCACGTGACTTTACCGAAAGAACCAAAGAGTGGATCCCTGCAGTCACGAAAACTTCAAATCTAGTGGGGCTCTATCCCAGGGGTGGGCAAATTTGTTGACTCGCGGTCGACAATGGGTTCTAAAATTTGACAGAGGGGCCGGGCCAGGAACAGATGGATGGAGTGTTTGTGTGAACTAATATAAATGACGTGTAAAAATCATTACATGAAAGGATTTGGCCTTTAACAGGTAGCAAAGCATTTATTTGCGAGGCAATTTAACAAATTGCACGAACATGAACAAGACAAAAACGTCGTAACTCGGTCAAAGTGCGCCATCTAATGGGGAAATGGGGGCATTACAGGAGAAGGGGAAAATTGTATTTAATAATATTTGGACAAGTTCAGCGGGCCGGATTAAAAATCCCAACGGGCCGTATACAGCCCAGGGGCCGTACTTTGCCCATGTCTGCTCTATCCTGTCCAGAGGAGAGCACCATCATCATGGTGTTTTACTCCGCAGCTTTTGCCGACGTTTCGGCCACGCTTCCACGCAAGGCGGACTTCAATACCTCCCATGGTATTCAGGAGGTCGGTGGGTTCGATCCCGACTATCAACGCCTGTTGTATATTTGGAGTGTGCATGTTCTCCCCGTGGTCACGTGTTTTTTTATATCTCTGGGTCCTCCGGTTTTTCCCTCATTAAGAATCAATGTGCGTTTAAGAGTATGTGGCTGATAGGAATGTCCACATCATTTCTCGCCAGGTCTCGCATCTGAAAAAAAGCCATATACTGTAGCTCGATGGGCCTAACCTGGTAAAACAATTGTTTAGTTTAGGTGTGTGTTACACAGCTGCAAATTGGTAAATAGTATGTGAACACATAACACATTCCTGCGGAGGGAGCTGGTAGGAACGCTGGGTTGCTCGGTCAATGGCCAGGGTCAACGGCGGCGTGGTGTATTCCGCAAATATGCCGGACTGTGAGGGTGGGCACAAGCTGTCGTGAGTAGGTTAAACGTTGAGTTTTATAAGGGCACCACGGGGTGACCAGCTACTCCCCACCCAGCCGCACCCCTCCCACCCCCCACCCAGCCCATCCCTCCCAGCCCCTCCCCACCCTCCACACCCAGCCCCTCCCCACCCTCCCCACCCAGCCCCTCCCTCCCCACCCAGCCCCTCCCCACCCAGCCCCTCCCCACCCTCCCCTCTCCACCCAGCCCCACCCCTCCCATTTTTTGGATGCACGATGGACGGACACAATAATCCCCTGTGGGCTGGTGTAACCAGGAGGTTTATACCAGTAAAATTTTATTTTATTTTCTACCTACGTGACTTTACCGAAAGAACCAGAGTACGGATTCCTGCAGTCACGAAAGCTTCAAATCAAGTATGTGTACAATTGGCCAGGTGAGAGCTCTTGTATTGGGGCTCTATCCATTACAGGGCCCTATTATAGTGTTCGTTACGCTTCCTGTACCCGACTAGCTGGCCACAGTTTTCTGTAAATGCCCATTTAGATTTACATCAGGAGGTAAACCTTGAGGAAGGAAACTGTGTTGAGTTTTAATGCGATGGCGCTTATTTGAGTGACTGATGTGTCAGAAAGGTGCCACGAATGTCAACAAAAAATAAAAAAGTACTTGGCATTACCTTTATTGTTTAAAGGCAGGGGGCACCGGGAAAACATATCGCCACCGTGCAGGCTCCGGTCAGTGGGTCTGTCAATATCGCCGTGGCAGATCAATGTTGATTCCATTGGTACTCGCATCACGACCTCCTGTATACCAGGCGAGGTAGTTGACATGTCGCCGACGTGGCTGGCGCCCCCATCCAAAAATGGGAGGGGTGGGGCTGGGTGGAGAGGGAAGGGTGGGGAGGGGCTGGGTGGAGAGGGGAGGGTGGGGAGGGTGAGAATGGTGGGGCTGGGTGGGGAGGGTGGGGCTGGGCGGGGGGTGAGAGGGGTGGGGCTGGGTGGGGAGGGTGGGGCTGGGTGGGAAGGGGCTGGTCACCCCGTGGTGCCCTTATAAAACTCAACGTTTAACCTACTCACGCCGGCTTGTGCCCGCCCTCACAGTCGGGCATATTTGCGGAATACACTAGGTGGTGCCGCCGTTGACCCTGGCCATTGACCGAGCAACCCAACGTTCCTACCAGCTCCCTCCGCAGGAATGTGTTATTAGCAATTGTAAATCCCTTGTCTACAGGAGCATGAGAAAATGAATCAAGGCTATAGGGGCAGTTGACCAGCCGTCAGGGTTATATGGATGACTCGTGGATGAACGATATTTCTACGAATAACCCAAAAGTGTAAGCGAATCAAGCGCAGCAACTTATAAAAAGTATTCCCGAATTAATTAAGCGACCTGTTCGATCAGCATTATTATATCTCAACGCAATTTTCCGATTGGTTCACGTACCTGTCAACCCTTTATCAGTGCCCTACCTTATACTGGTAGGAACGAAGTTGTAAACTGAGTGTACCAGCCTGCTAGATTAATGTGTCCGTCCGTCCCCTTTAAATACTTTAACGAAGTGAAATCTCATGCTGTTGGGTGTAAAAAAAATTCCAATGTTCCTACCAGCCCACCCTGCAGGGACCTGTTTACAGACCAATTCAGACCTTATTGGTCACCCCGTGCCCCTTATAAATCTCAGTTCATCCTACAAAGTCCCATCACAAGGGAGAAACACATTTTATTTTGTGCCCATATTGAAACGTCTGTACGCCGTATGGACCTTAAAACTCAATTTCCCTGTACAAGAACACGGATAAACCGTATGGGTTGACAGGTTTGATACTATACACTATCCACTACACTACCATACCTGTAAACCCCTTATCAGTGCCTTACCATACTACAGACCAATTCAAAGCTTATTGGTCACCCCGTGCCCCTTATAAATCTCAACGTTCATCCTACAAAGTCACATCACAAGGGAGAAACACAAACATTTGTATTATTATTACATGCTTTTATTTAATTCACTGTCTGTTGTATCCTCAAATCTTGTAACTCAATGTTAACCCACTTCCCAATATGGTATCGACTGCAAACTTGGTATACTTCTGTCATACTGATGACAATAAAATATTCTATCATTCAAATAAAAAAACATTTTAAAACAATCTTTTTTACATAGTTACGTTTGGGCTTGTCGTCCCGACAGTTGTTCTTTCACCTGAAGAAGGCTAATTGTGTTGTGACCGAAACGTCGTGAGAATTTTATTTTATTATTTTATTCTCATTCTACGTGGTGACTTTACCGAAAGAACCAAAGAAGATGAATCCTTGCAGTCACGAAAGCTTTAAATCGAAATTTGTGTCTTAATTGTGCACGCATTTAACTGACGTTGGCTGTAAATAACCACTGGATATATTCTTAGTTTATTCGGTAAAGTCACGTTGAAAATAATAAAATATATATTTATTATTTTATTATTTTGTTGTTTCCCTTCAACGTGACTTTACCGAAAAAACTAAGAATATGAATTACTGCAGTCACGAAAGCTTTAAATCAAAATTTAACCACTGTATATCTTTACTATCGGGGCCACTCCCTGGGCTCGTGGAGTTCTGCCATTTACCAGGAGGGTACATTTCATTAAAACGTGTATTAAAAAAAAGTTTTTGTTTAAAAACACATATTATATATTACTTTTTGTGTTGTTTTGCCCGAATTGTACCGGCGGGGGTGGTGGGTTTTAAACCGCGGGGGGCCCATTTGCGTATCGTCACTTTAAGATGTTTTATTGTTGTTTGTTGCGGTCGGGGCTATACGGAAGAAGTGAAACTAAAAACTATAAAACTATAAACTAAAAAGCTAAAACCGAATAAATTAAACGGAAACGCAGAGACGGCGGCGGTCCGTCGACGGAGCAAACGAAGACGCTCGATTCGTGACGCAAACCGACTCCAAGTGATCGATTCGGGCCGGCTCGACACCGCCAACAACCAAGTAATCGATGAACGCCGAACCACGATTTACGGGGAAAAAGTTTTGCATGAATCGTTACGAACACGCGGGGGTTAGAAAGAGACGTCAACCCAACGTCGGAGGCGCCGCTGCGCGTTCCCCGTTCCCTCCTGCGTTCGACGTCGGGTCAACTAAAAACGCGGGATATTTTGTTGTTGTTGTTGTTTGTTGTTGTTTGCGGCAGCGAAGTAAAATAAAAAAGGAATCGACTGCAACCTGGATCGTGGCGTGGATCGCAGTCGAATCGCTAAGAGATTGCGTCAGTGTCGTGTTGGTGTTGTCACGGGCACTGTACCGTGGTGGTTGTTGTTGTTGTGTGGCCTCTGAATTTAGCGTAATTTTGTTTATTTCTCTTTAACCAAGAGGAGACATCGCTCACATTCGGCCAGGGTGAGGGGGTACAAACCGTGCTTTTTGCGAAATGGTCACTCGTTTGCTATTTTTTTTATTTTAAAAACGAAACTTGACTGCACACACATTCAAATGTTGACTTAAAGACTTTCGTGACTGCAGGAATTCATATTCTTTTGGGTCTTTCGGTAAAGTCACGTAGATAGGTTAAAAGAAAATAACAAACAAAAACTACGACGTTTCGGTCGTCACCAGGAAGATAGAAAGATAGACTCTCTCTATCTTCCTGGTGACGAACGCTTGCCTCGTCGTTTTTTTGTTATTTTCTCATGAAGCTATCCACGTGACTTTACCCAAAGACCCCAAAGAATATGAACACACGCAGGCGTGTGTGGTTGAAGGTGCTGTCAATGGTAAGGGGTTGGGGGTGGTGGTGGTAGTAGGGGTTGGGGGTGGTGGTGGTAGTTGGGGTTAGTGGTAGTAGGGGTGGTGGTGGTGGTGGTAGTAGGGGTTGGTAGTGGTGGTAGTAGGGGTGGTGGTGGTGGTAGTAGGGGTTGGTGGTGGTGGTAGTAGGGGTTGGGTGTGGTAGTAGGGGTTGGGGGTGGTGGTGGTAGTAGGGGTGGTGGTAATAAGGGTTGGGGGTGGTGGTGGTAGTAGGGGTTGGGGGTGGTGGTGGTAGTAAGGGTTGGGGTGGTGGTGGTAGTAGGGGTTGGGGGTGGTGGTGGTAGTAGGGGTTGGTGGTGGTGGTGGTAGTAGGGGTTGGGGGTGGTGGTAGTAGGGGTTGGGGGTGGTGGTGGTACTAGCGGTTGGGGGTGGTGGTAGTAGGGGTTGGGGGTGGTGGTGGTAGTAGGGGTTGGGGGTGGTGGTGGTAGGGGTTGGGGGTGGTGGTGGTAGTAGGGGTTGGGGGTGGTGGTGGTAGTAGGGGTTGGTGGTGGTGGTAGTAGTGGTTGGGGGTGGTGGTGGTAGTAGGGGTTGGGTGTGGTGGTGGTAGTAGGGGTTGGGGGTGGTGGTGGTAGTAGGGGTTGGTGGTGGTGGTAGTAGTGGTTGGGGGTGGTGGTGGTAGTAGGGGTTGGGTGTGGTGGTGGTAGTAGGGGTTGGGGGTGGTGGTGGTAGTAGGGGTTGGGAGTGATGGTGGTAGTAAGGGTTGGGGGTGGTAGTAGGAGTTGGGTGGTGGTGGTAGTAGGGGTTGGTGGTAGTGGTGGTAGTAGTGGTTGGGGGTGGTGGTGGTAGTAGGGGTTGGGGGTGGTGGTGGTAGTAGGGGTTGGGGGTGGTGGTGGTAGTAGGGGTTGGGGGTGGTGGTGGTAGTAGGGGTTGGGGGTAGTGGTAGTAGGTGGTGGTGGTGGTAGTAGGGGTTGGGGGTGGTGGTGGTAGTAGGGGTTGGGGGTGGTTGTAGTAGGGGTTGGGGGTAGTGGTAGTAGGGGTTGGGGGTAGTGGTAGTAGGGGTTGGGGGTGGTGGCAGTAGTAGGGGTTGGGGGTGGTGGTGGTAGTAGGGTTTGGGGGTGGTGGTGGTAGTAGGGGTTGGGGGTGGTGGCGGTAGTAAGGGTTGGGGGTGGTGGTGGTAATAGGGGTTGGGGGTAGTGGTAGTAGGGGTTGGGGGTGGTGGTGGTAGTAGGGGTTGGGGGTGGTGGTAGTAGGGGTTGGGGGTAGTGGTAGTAGGGGTGGGGGGTGGTGGTGGTAGTAGGGGTTGGGGGTGGTGGCGGTAGTAGGGGTTGGGGGTGGTGGTAGTAGGGGTTGGGGGTAGTGGTAGTAGGGGTTGGGGGTAGTAGGGGTGGGGGGTGGTGGCGGTAGTAGGGGTTGGGGGTGGTGGTGGTAGTAGGGGTTGGGGGTGGTGGTAGTAGGGGTTGGGGGTGGTGGTAGTAGGGGTTGAGGGTGGTGGTGGTGGTAGTAGGGGTTGGGGGTGGTGGTGGTAGTAGGGGTTGGGGGTGGTGGTGGTAGTAGGGGGTGGTGGTGGTAGTAGGGGTTGGGGGTGGTGGTAGTAGGGGTTGGTGGTGGTGGTGGTAGTAGTGGTTGGGGGTGGTGGTGGTAGTAGGGGTTGGGGGTGGTAGTAGGGGTTGGGGGTGGTGGTAGTAGGGGTTGGTGGTGGTAGTAGTGGTTGGGGGTGGTGGTGGTAGTAGGGGTTGGTGGTAGTAGTAGGGGTTGGGGGTGGTGGCGGTAGTAGGGGTTGGGGGTGGTAGTAGGGGTTGGGGGTGGTGGTAGTAGTGGTTGGGGGTGGTGGTGGTAGTAGGGGTTGGTGGTGGTGGTGGTAGTAGGGGTTGGGGGTGGTGGCGGTAGTAGGGGTTGGGGGTGGTGGTGGTAGTAGGGCGTGGTGGTGATGGTTGTAGGGGGTGGTGGTGGTAGTAAGGGTTGGTGGTGGTGGTGGTAGTAGTGGTTGGGGGTGGTGGTGGTCGTAGGGGTTGGGGGTGGTAGTAGGGGTTGGGGGTGGTGGTGGTAGTAGGGGTTGGGGGTGGTGGTAGTAGGGGTTGGTGGTGGTGGTGGTAGTAGTGGTTGGGGGTGGTGGTGGTAGTAGGGGTGGGGGGTGGTGGCGGTAGTAGGGGTTGGGGGTGGTGGTGGTAGTAGGGGTTGGGGGTGGTGGTGGTAGTAGGGGTTGGGGGTGGTGGTGGTAGTAGGGCGGGGTAGTGGTGGTGGTTGTAGGGGTTGGGGGTGGTGGTGGTGGTAGTAGGGGTTGGTGGTGGTGGTGGTGGTAGTAGTGGTTGGGGGTGGTCGTAGGGGTTGGGGTGGTAGTAGGGGTTGGGGGTGGTGGTGGTAGTAGGGGTTGGTAGTGGTGGTAGTAGGGGTGGTGGTGGTGGTAGTAGGGGTTGGTGGTGGTGGTAGTAGGGGTTGGGTGTGGTAGTAGGGGTTGGGGGTGGTGGTGGTAGTAGGGGTGGTGGTAATAAGGGTTGGGGGTGGATGGTGGTAGTAGGGGTTGATGGTGGTGGTAGTAAGGGTTGGGGTGGTGGTGGTAGTAGGGGTTGGTGGTGGTGGTGGTAGTAGGGGTTGGGGGTGGTGGTAGTAGGGGTTGGGGGTGGTGGTGGTAGTAGCGGTTGGGGGTGGTGGTAGTAGGGGTTGGGGGTGGTGGTGGTAGTAGGGGTTGGGGGTGGTGGTGGTAGTAGGGGTTGGGGGTGGTGGTGGTAGGGGTTGGGGGTGGTGGTGGTAGTAAGGGTTGGGGGTGGTGGTGGTAGTAGGGGTTGGGTGGTGGTGGTAGTAGGGGTTGGGGGTGGTGGTGGTAGTAGGGGTTGGTGGTGGTGGTAGTAGTGGTTGGGGGTGGTGGTGGTAGTAGGGGTTGGGTGTGGTGGTGGTAGTAGGGGTTGGGGGTGGTGGTGGTAGTAGGGGTTGGGAGTGATGGTGGTAGTAAGGGTTGGGGGTGGTGGTGGTAGTAGGAGTTGGGTGGTGGTGGTAGTAGGGGTTGGTGGTAGTGGTGGTAGTAGTGGTTGGGGGTGGTGGTGGTAGTAGGGGTTGGGGGTGGTGGTGGTAGTAGGGGTTGGGGGTGGTGGTGGTAGTAGGGGTTGGGGGTGGTGGTGGTAGTAGGGGTTGGGGGTAGTAGGGGTTGGTGGTGGTGGTGGTGGTAGTAGGGGTTGGGGGTGGTGGTGGTAGTAGGGGTTGGGGGTGGTGGTAGTAGGGGTTGGGGGTTGTGGTAGTAGGGGTTGGGGGTGGTGGTGGTAGTAGGGGTTGGGGGTGGTGGCGGTAGTAGGGGTTGGGGGTGGTGGTAGTAGGGGTTGGGGGTAGTGGTAGTAGGGGTTGGGGGTAGTGGTAGTAGGGGTTGGGGGTGGTGGCGGTAGTAGGGGTTGGGGGTGGTGGTGGTAGTAGGGTTTGGGGGTGGTGGTGGTAGTAGGGGTTGGGGGTGGTGGTGGTAGTAGGGGTTGGGGGTAGTGGTAGTAGGGGTTGGTGGTGGTGGTGGTAGTAGGGGTTGGGGGTGGTGGTGGTAGTAGGGGTTGGGGGTGGTGGTGGTAGTAGGGGTTGGGGGTGGTGGCGGTAGTAGGGGTTGGGGGTGGTGGTAGTAGGGGTTGGGGGTAGTGGTAGTAGGGGTTGGGGGTAGTAGGGGTTGGGGGTGGTGGCGGTAGTAGGGGTTGGGGGTGGTGGTGGTAGTAGGGGTTGGGGGTGGTGGTAGTAGGGGTTGGGGGTGGTGGTGGTAGTAGTGGTTGGGGGTGGTGGTGGTAGTAGGGGTGGGGGGTGGTAGTAGGGGTGGGGGGTGGTGGTGGTAGTAGGGGTTGGGGGTGGTGGTAGTAGGGGTTGGTGGTGGTAGTAGTGGTTGAGGGTGGTGGTGGTAGTAGGGGTTGGTGGTACTAGTAGGGGTTGGGGGTGGTGGCGGTAGTAGGGGTTGGGGGTGGTAATAGGGGTTGGGGGTGGTGGTAGTAGTGGTTGGGGGTGGTGGTGGTAGTAGGGGTTGGTGGTGGTGGTGGTAGTAGGGGTTGGGGGTGGTGGCGGTAGTAGGGGTTGGGGGTGGTGGTGGTAGTAGGGCGTGGTGGTGGTGGTTGTAGGGGGTGGTGGTGGTGGTGGTAGTAGGGGTTGGTGGTGGTGGTGGTAGTAGTGGTTGGAGGTGGTGGTGGTCGTAGGGGTTGGGGGTGGTAGTAGGGGTTGGGGGTGGTGGTGGTAGTAGGGGTTGGGGGTGGTGGTAGTAGGGGTTGGTGGTGGTGGTGGTAGTAGTGGTTGGGGGTGGTGGTGGTAGTAGGGGTTGGGGGTGGTGGCGGTAGTAGGGGTTGGGGGTGGTGGTGGTAGTAGGGGTTGGGGGTGGTGGTGGTAGTAGGGGTTGGGGGTGGTGGTGGTAGTAGGGCATGGTAGTGGTGGTGGTTGTAGGGGTTGGGGGTGGTGGTGGTGGTAGTAGGGGTTGGTGGTGGTGGTGGTAGTAGGGGTTGGGGGTGGTGGTGGTCGTAGGGGTTGGGGGTGGTAGTAGGGGTTGGGGGTGGTGGTGGTAGTAGGGGTTGGGGGTGGTGGTAGTAGGGGTTGGGGGTGGTGGTGGTAGTAGTGGTTGGGGGTGGTGGTGGTAGTAGGGGTTGGGGGTGGTAGTAGGGGTTGGGGGTGGTGGTGGTAGTAGGGGTTGGGGGTGGTGGTAGTAGGGGTTGGTG